CGATTTGTTTACATATTGTCAGTTAGAGGTTGGGTCACTGACTCCAAGATCTTTGACCTCTGATACTACTGTAAGTGTTGTTTGTTTAGCAAGAAGCTTCAGTGTTTCCTATACAAAACAGAAACTATAACTTTTCATACTTGTTGAAGTACCGTGTTATTGAGAGGTCATCTGATATTATGAGTGGCGGGACTGTTGCCATAAACCAGATTTATTGTCTTCATCCAGTTTTTCAATAATTAACCTGAAACTAGTTTATGACTAGTTCATAATAGTTCATCGACTTGCAAGATCTGTCTGTTTACCCCATACATTGAGGTGTATTTGGTGGTTGGTGGTTGGTGCCCTGGACCACTGTCAAGTTCCCATGTCGAGGTATTTACCAGGAGCATATCCACAGTTAGTGCACACCGCACACCGTACAACAATGTGTCTACGTTTTCTCATATTGTCTGCCAGTAACCGTTCAGCATATAACACGCTTGTTGTCTGCATCACCCATTCCAGACCGTTTCCAAATCTCAGATTATGGTTTTTGGTCGCCTTCGTCAGCTGGCCAACCGTGACGTTGCCTAGGCGTGTGACCTCCCATAGTTAGTGCATTTCTTGTCACTTCAGAATGAAAAGTGTGGCCAGTGGGGTCAAAGCGGCACTGAGATGCGTAACGTGATCGTCTATACCCAACACCGCGCCTATTATATCTCTTTGGTGGCGCGTTTACGAGCGGTGTGATCGGTAATTAAAACGACGGAGTTCATGGGAGACAGTTACGGTGGTTTAATGGCCGTGAAAGTAGCTTGCAGCTGTGGCAGCCGTGTGGTCTAAAAACATTTAAGTTTGGAGGTGAGGAAAAATTTTAAAAATATTGGTATTGGGGTAATAATTGTACAAAGTCGCAAAAAATGGTTAGTTGACAATATTCGGGAAAGACTAAACACCAAAATGAGCGACTTGAACTGACAAGCCAGGCATTTCTGGTGCAAAATGCACTGTAGTAGCCACTGCCTTGCTTATGTCACTTCACCATGATGTGATTTCACTACCTTAAGATGAACATACGAGACTAGTCTATAACACACTAGTGTGATATAACCCTAGCTTATCACACTTTTTCCAAACGGAAAGGCAACATTTGTAAACTAGGCCTTTAAACTTTTGCCTCTTGACTTACCGAGATCCTCGCCAAGGTGTCTAAGACCGCCAGTGGCCAGTGACGGCCGAAGACGTGCCCTAGACGACAGACACGTGCGTCCTTGCGTTGCGATCGCCGAGGTCATAATTACCTAGAACTGGTTCTGGTCTTCTGGTTTGCTCCCGTCTCGGGGTGGACGAGTCGCCTCAGCCCCGGGCACCTCCCGAAATGGCAACGAAGAAAGTTGACTTTTACTCATTTGTTGATAGAGACCACCTACTGCAGTTCTAGGAGTTTGGCCTCTTTGGGTCCAGCTAGTTATTTTACCTATATCAAGAGCTACAAACTCTCCCAAAGACTTTCTCTTATAGTTGATTTTGTTTTTCCAAATTATACTTTTTAAGTATATTTCACTGCTGAACTAAGATTAACAGTGTTTAACCTCATTAAACACACGGCACTTCACTTTATGTAGGCTACATCTGTTATGAATGCAAGATATGCGTAATCGAGTGCAACTTCTGTGTTGCTTTGCTAATGACTAAGATCAGTTGTTTCTTAAGCAAGGACTTCAAACCCGAAGACCTGGGACAATTAGGTCTAGTTTTGTAACCTAAAAATGCGACTATCTTTCTCAGGATCGGACTGTAACACTTATTATTAAAGGAGAACTATAATCCATCTATGTTTCTTATTCAAAGATACTGTAACATCATCACTCATATTGTGGCAAGGTGGATCGCTAATTTTTATAGTATGAATTCAGCCGAAGTAATCCATCTGGATTCTGGAAACTCCGATCAAATATGAGGGTGAAATAAGTGGCATTGGTCTTGACATTTTGAATAAAAAGTTGGCGATTTAAAATGCAACGAGTAGATCTCCAGGCAAGGCGTATGGCATTTGTAAACGATATGCATTTGTAAACAAGGGGATACAAAGAAAAGTAAAGAAACAAAGAAGACGTTGAACCAACAAAACTAGCCAAAGACAAACATCTAGACGAGTGCCAGACACCCCCCGTTGTGCCCCTCCTACCTCAAGTTATTCCTGAATGTTTTCGAACGTGTCAGTAGTCTAGTACTGGTGTTTTGTTTGGTTATAGGCGTAGGTTTCGTTACCTGGATGTTCGTAAAACTATGAATCTCGGAACAAGAGTTACAGTAAATGATTTATCTTCTCAACTTAAAACATGATAGCTGAAGAAAAAAATTCCAATAAGATCAATTACCTAAGTTTAGCTTGCAATTTGTTGTTCTATGCTATGAATACGCTATACGAGTCCTAACAACACTCTCAAACTGAACATCTTACTTACTTACTTCACACTAACAAACTTGTTTCAAGGATTTATCTGTCAGACGTTTAATAAGACTTTGTACGATTTCCAATTTAAGTCTGTAGCTCATCCTACACTCATCATAATTTATGTTCATCATAGTACTAGCTGGCCCGACAGACGTCGTTCTCTGTCCTAATGTGGTTTTGCAGTATATGTCAAATGGAATGAAATTAAATGAAATATTATTTATTCATACAGGCAAATGCTCTTTCATTTACAAGATGAGCTAGTTCGCATCGCTCAATCACGTACTGGTTGAAGTTCGTTCGCTACGCACACTCACCTTTTGGTTGAAAATTAACACTTTTTAACACATGTTATTGTATCCTACAGTTTTATAAAAAAAATTCCTTCAATGCTCCAAGTCAATTTTTTTATTTTTAAAAATGAAATTATTCAATACCGGTTGGATGGATTAAAGTTTTCCCTACATAAAAACCTTCCCCTGGCACTAAGGAACACAAAAACAAGAATCATCCAATTCGGTGCACTCGCTCTCGAATCGTTCTGGAATACCATAAAATACCCCCGCCGCAGCAAACCTGCAGACTAAGCGAATTTCAACTTGTCTGATTACATATTGACTCATAAACATATCAAGATGTTAATCGGTCCCGGGTCCAGGTCTTACCATGAGACCTACGGTTTAGCTTATTCCCTAAATGGGAAATTCGCTAAAAAGGGATTCGTTATTTTTTATTTATATAGACTCATAAACTTAAAACCTTGCATAGGTAACAATAATTTTGTAAATTAAAAAAAAATTTGGAAGCAAATGTAAATACATGTGGCAGAAACTAAAATGACATTATGTGTAGCCTAACAACTACGTTCAAGCCCTTGCAAATTCATTTGTTATACATTTCTTAATCACAAACTGGAATTTTATAGAAATATGAACCTTTTTACGTATTTATCTTCCCCATAAAAACTCTGATTTAATTTGGTAACAAACTCGTGTTGCCAATAATTGAGGAGGTTTTCCAGTAAGTGTGATTTGATTTTTCGCCGTCACAGCTAACACATCAATGTTTAAAAATCAGACAGAGCTAAACAAGATATAAGATGTTAGAAAGTCATGCGTATCTTGTACGTACGCTGCACCTGGTAGGTCAATTCGTGTGTCTTGTTTTCTCTCCATGTCAAGAAATCATTGTTGTCCCGCTGCCCTCGTAACATGCTTGTCAAACGTCTTGCGTGCCTTACTCTATCATACTACTGTACATTAGTGTGTTTTAGTTCCAACAATTAAAAAAAAAATCATTGTCAATCGGCTAATCGGCAATTAGTAAAAGAAGACACACTCTGTGGACCACGGCCGCCTTTAAAGGTGGCCGTGCTGTGGACATAGGGGCATTTTGATATATAATGTTTTATGTTTACCGGAAACAGTGGCAAGGCATGTAGCTTACCGTATACAGTTGGAGTCAACACATTGGCATGAAACATGCTCATGCTCGAGGAAGTTACCGGTGTGCAGCTAACTAGCGCTCAGCGGCAACAATGCACTTCCTGCTGGAGATTTATTCATGACCGGCTCGCGGAACGAAACCGGGTCACCGATACAACCAACACTCTGACCCCCATACGCCAAATACTATATGTCATACGTCATCCAGCTGCATGCAATGTTCGATACATAGGCCTATTGCACCTAGTAACCAAATACCTTCTGTGTAGTATCCCAGAAACAAGTAAACAGAATGTCATTAGCGTACTGTACGTATAAAAATGTTTTAGCATCAATTATCTGAATGTAGTAGTAGTGGTCGAAAGTATATGGATTCTGTACACTACAATATAGCTATTTTAGCAAATTTTACCACGTTGTCAATCTAAGCAGCCTTGGTATTTACATGCTTCACAGGAAACAATTGATTATTGTGCTTAATTTTGAACTAAATCTAATATATTTATATTAATATTATTGACTTTTGACAGTATACACTTGCTAAATAGACCATTCAATTCATTGATGTTTTATATCAACACCCGGTGGTTCCATATAACATTCTGGAAAAAAATATTACTTACAATTAATTCGCCATTCCACAATCATGGCTCGTTTTCATTTTAGTACATACGCCATTTACTATCCATGCAGTAAATGGAGTTATTCTAAAATGCAGTAAAGTAAGTCTAAATGCAGTAAAGTTTCTATTATTCTCGAAGTAGTTGACATGACAACATCTGCGTACCCTCTGGTAAAAACAATTCTACACGATCAATGGCTTAATTAATTTTGATAATCCAAAAAAGGCTAAACAATTGTTTATTACTATAGTATGGACAAAACAATGAGCTTAAGAATTATTGTGTATCAACAATATTCAATCATTTCCCCATAGCAAAGAAAATAATGTTTTGTCATATCTGAATTATACCCAAAATGGAAGCATTCCTGATTTATTGTGAAAACAGAAAAATCTATTGAGTGGCCAATTTTATAAGTAAATCATGTAGGTCACTTCATGTATGAATCTAATTTTTCAACTGACGTTACATTAATTAAGATATTTCTTACAGGGGTGGAGGCGGCGAGAGACTCTAGCTGTCCCCGGATCTGCCCCCAGACTGGAGGCGGGGACCCAGTGTGTGGTTCTGATAGCGTCATATACCGCAACTTATGCGAGCTCAAGAAGAAAACCTGCGGCAAAGGTAAGCCTATTCTTCCTTTGAAGAAAAAACCTTGGGTCTAGACAAAGAATAAAATAGTGTAATCTTATAACGTTTATTAAATACGCTAATCCTTACAGTCAAGTTGCGTTTAGTAAGAAGCGAGAAGATCAAATCCACTTATGCAGCATACATATTCTTTTTATAGCTGTTTTTTGTCACTGCTGTAAGTCAAGGAAAATAGTTAGGAACTAGCTGTGTACCCGTTCTACGCACGGGGATCTTTTAGTATTCAGTTGAAACCTTCATATATAAAATCAGCAGTTGGTTTGCATGTTTTCAGATATGCTGGCCAAACTTACACAACTTCATTTTATGTTGTTTGTTGTTGTTACGGATCGGTATGACAATCAATAAAAGGTTAAATTACCTGTGTCCGCCGGTCGATCCTAACGTATCCTATTACAGGAGATGTGCATTTCGGCAAAACTAAATCGCCATCATCAGTCCTAATAAGGTCTTGAGCTTCCCCATTAGGTGCGTCTTGGAGTTTTTGAAACACATACACGAACTGTACACTATTATACACATGACGAATAAAACATAAATACACGGTAGGCCTACTTTTATTTTTACTATGGACACGTAGACGCGCGTCGGTCGTGCGCCGAGTCTCGTGAAAACGCTCATTTAAAAAATGCAAGTTTCCCAGCCATATACAACACTGATTCAAGGTCTTTTACTGGTTATCAAAACTCAAGAACAATTTTATACACAAAGAATCTCTATTTTCATTTACGGATACCCTACAAATTATTGCACTTGCGATTAACTGAATCCGTTAAGCAAGGTAAAACGTTTCTTACTTGGTTTGGATTTACTAGAACCGTTGGTAGCTGCTAGAATCATTTTTACGTAGGTACCAACACATCACTGTAGTTTACAAATTAGTTATCGTTGGTGTTGCACCTTATTTATTAGAGCCGTCCGTATGTAATTTAAGTGATGTCTTAACTCTGTATAAGTTTTGCTTTTTCTGTCTGGATTCCAAATCTTAGCTTACCCGGTATGCTAAGAAAATGATAACCTATTTGAGTAAAACATTTGTTGGGCAAACCATCATGAATTGTTTACGCCTTTATATTGTTTATGTTTATGTATCAATAGTTCGTGGCCTTTTTTGGATTGTTGTGTGTATGTCTTTTGGTAACGCATTAATGTCCTTATTTCTCAGTGTTTCACGGAATGGACAAGAGCACCTTTGATACTGAAAATGTCAACCGGAATAAAGTGTTAAATGGTGAGGTTGAGGTAGTTAACCGATGTGGAAAGTAACTTTCAATATTATAGGCCTACTTTAGGGCTACGCTTCATGGATCTATAAAACATTTTTTAGTTTAATCATTGGACATATGGACCATAACGATCCGGGTGACATTTAATTGCGAAGCATTTATTTTGGCTTGAACTGTCAGATACTGTATTTGCGAAGGTTTATATATAATGGTTTTTCCAGCATATCTGCAAATATGCAAACTAACTGCTGTTCTTAATCTTAATATAAGAAGGTTTCAACTGACTACTATAAGATCCCCGTACGTAGAACGGGCACTAGTATGTGATAAACATTGGGAAAAGTTTACAAAAAATTGCACAAAATTGGGTTTTTAAACGTCCGTCATTTTATTTACAAAGTAGTGACACCATATTTTAATGGCTAAAGACAATCTCGCCAATCCGGTGAATACATTAAAATGATTTGGAACTTGATAGGTACTCTCGTTTTTCAGGAGTAGGCCGCGTAAAATGGATCTTGGGCCGTGACAGACAGGAAGACAGACAGACAGAAATTTAGATGAGACTTGTTTCGGTTTCTTTAATGTATAAAACGTAAAAAAACCTAAAAGTTTATGATTCTGAGCAATGTACAGACAAAACTCTAATTTTATTTATATAGATAATCAGGACATCTAGGAATAACAAACAAATCATCATAAGACAGAAACCTGTAAATAATAAATAGTTCTAAAGCCTACTGCCTTAGACTAAAATATTTAATCGATGCTTGCACAATTAATTGTCAAACCTCCGGTAACCATATATTGAACAGCAGAACTGCATGGCAAAGCTAAGTGTGCCAATTAGCAAACTAGGAAAACTATAATGATGACACTACAGTAAATTGATGCGGGTGCGCGCGATCGTTAGCAATGTTGCCAATTCAAGGGAAATTACCTACCCGTTTCAAGAGTAATTTATATGGGGTTATTTTTTCAAGCTAAAATTATTTTCGAAGGTAAAACTGGGAAAACTTTACTCAACGACAAACTACAAGGACTGTTATTTTGTTATAAAACATGTTTTTATTTATTTCTGGTGGTAATTTAAATCCAAACTACCAAACTACTGTATTATTGAATAATTTAAACATATCGTAGTTCCTTGAGGAGTATGTTTTATCTATGGTAGTACACTTTGTATGTACAGTATACAATTTCATACAAAGTGGCAAGGGCAAGGGTACAATTTGGCCAAAGTTTCTGTGTGCGCGACCCCGTTCTGGACGGGTCGTGCGAGGGGGGATGGCGGGTGGCGGGGGTACTTTTGTGAAAGCATTTGCAATGAATACACAAACTATAGTTTGTGTATTCATTGGCATTTGTGTCTTGCTACTCACTCACCCCTACCCCCAGCAATGCCCAATACGTACCTGTAATGTTTTAGAACGGCTTTTAGCAACTACAAATCGTCCGCGCGCATACAAGTTTTGGCCGAACTGTACAAGCAGTGGGATCGATGAGCGTCAACCATCGATATTCACTATCTTACTATGGATGGTAAGAGTTGGTATCAATCATCATCACGCACTATACATACATGATAGATGTTTGGTATACATATTCAACTACCGATGACATAGTCTGGTTTTACTTCTTTGTCAAGTGTTTTTGCCTTTTGCCATAATAATCGGGGCTTCCTTATTAATGCTTGAAGTTTAGTCCTGAACAAGAAAATTAAGTTATTAGTTACTAACAGCATTGACTATATAACCATAACAGATTAATTCTAGGGTAATTTCATGAGTACTTTTTCCTTTTTCGATTTGAGGGTATTCAAATAAGGTTAATTTTTTGCGATGACCAAGGGTAGTAAAAAAAAAAACTGTTGGCAACACTGATCGGTGGCGTTGCCGGTTGCCTGCGCCGTTCGTTTTGTTTGTGTTGTTCCGTTGTTACTACTGTTTGTTTACATAACCCATAACCTAACCAAACCGAAATCGTTGCTTGCTTGGTTTCTACTAAGTTTACTTCTAGTTTTGTTGATCTTGCTCAGTTGTACAATAATTAATTACCAGTATTCATTTGCCGATTTACCCTGTGTTTGGTTATCACATGTTGTGTTAATTAATAGCCTCGTGAATAATGGTTTCATCGTGAAGAATAGAGAGAGACTCGTATAAACTAGTGACAGGCGGTTTGTAACTTTAGTAGTCCGACTGTCTACTATCAACTCAAAGTTTGAACATCAGTAGGATAAGTTGGTGATTTCTTATTTAAGCTTTAAAAACTATTGTCCTCTGCTATGTCTATCGAAATAGAATCAGCTGATGTCGTTCGTTTAATTCAACAATATTTAAAGGAGTCGAATCTTACACGAACACTTCAAACATTACAAGAAGAAACTGGTGTCTCACTCAATACTGTTGACAGTGTTGACAGTTTTGTCTCAGATATAAACAATGGTCATTGGGACACAGTTTTAAAAGCAGTTCAATCATTGAAACTACCAGATAAAAAGCTTATTGATCTTTATGAACAGGTTGTTTTGGAACTAATAGAGTTAAGGGAACTAGGAGCGGCTAGGTCCCTACTCAGACAAACAGATCCTATGATTGTCCTAAAGCAGCAAGAATCTGAGCGATATCTTCACCTAGAAAATTTGTTGGCTAGATCTTATTTTGATCCTCGAGAAGCTTATCCTGAAGGCCAAAGCAAAGAAAAACGCAGGGCAGCAATTGCACAGTCATTATCTGGTGAAGTGTCAGTAGTACCATCCAGTCGATTATTAGCTTTGTTGGGCCAAGCACTCAAATGGCAGCAACATCAGGGACTACTCCCCCCTGGCACAACTATTGATTTGTTTAGAGGTAAAGCCGCTGTCCGAGAACAAGACGAGGAGAAATGTCCCACCCAACTGTCAAAGCAGATTAAATTTGGTGTCAAGTCACACATTGAAAGTGCCAAGTTTTCACCAGATGGTCAGTTCTTAGTAACAGGAAGTGTAGATGGATTCATTGAAGTGTGGAACTTTACAACTGGCAAGATCAGAAAGGATTTGAAATACCAAGCTCAAGACAATTTCATGATGATGGAGGAGGCGGTGTTATGCTTATCATTCAGTCGGGATTCCGAGATGTTGGTTTCAGGTGCTCAAGATGGGAAGATCAAAGTCTGGAAAATAATTACTGGCCAGTGTCTACGCAAATTTGAAAAAGCCCATTCTAAAGGTGTAACTTGTCTGCAGTTTTCCCGAGACAATAGCCAAATACTAAGCGCATCTTTTGATACTACAATTAAAATCCATGGCTTAAAGTCTGGTAAAACTCTAAAGGAGTTTCGTGGACATAGTTCATTTGTCAATGAAGTCATTTTCAGCGGAGATGGTCACAGCCTTCTTAGCGCAAGCAGTGATGGAACGGTGAAGGTTTGGAGTATAAAATCCACCGAGTGTACTAGCACCTTTAAGTCGCTAGGAGCTGCGGATATTGCTGTAAATAGTATCCATCTGTTGCCTAAAAATCAAGAACATTTTGTTGTATGCAACAGAACTGATACTGTTGTAATCATGAATATGCAAGGACAGATTGTACGATCATTTTCAAGTGGTAAGCGAGAAGGTGGTGATTTTGTTTGCTGCAGTCTCTCTCCTCGTGGAGAGTGGATCTATTGTGTGGGTGAAGACATGGTGCTCTACTGCTTCTCTATCTCTTCAGGAAAGTTGGAAAGGACTCTAAATGTTCATGAAAAAGATGTCATTGGCGTTTCACACCATCCTCACCAAAACCTGCTTTGCACATACAGTGAAGACGGGCTGTTGAGACTTTGGAAACCTTAAGTTAAGTTAGGTATTTTTTTTTTGTTGAGTTATTTGACTGCCTGACAGCGTTTTTGAGGTAAAAATGGATAGACCTCCCTACTTTTTTATTTCAATTACCGTAAACCTTAGTAGGCCTATCATGCAGTTGGACACTGCCCCAATTCACACAAGCTTTTAGGGCTAATTTCCTTATTTGTATCTACCTATTTTTGTGTTTTTGGGAGGTTTATTTAAGATGGTTTTGTGCATTAAGTATAAAGGTAAAACACTGTTGTTAGGCCTAACTTACTTGAGGTTCATAGGAAAATGTTTCTTAAGCACAATTAGGCTAGTTTTTAGCCTAATTTATTATTTTTTTCCTTTTTAATTTGCCAATCTGCATTTTTATTTGAAAGGTTATTTAATCTTACTAGTAGGTAACTTATCCTATTCAGATATTTTGTTTGTTTTGTTGGTAATCAACCTAGAAATATTTTCCATCTGCTGATTTAGCCTAGTTTTCAAAGATTACCTTATCCAATTAATTGTACACTTTAAAGGCAAACCCAATAGAGTCAATTTTGTGTTAATTTGTGTATTATGTAAGTTACTTGGACTAGTGTTGAATTCAGAACCAACAAAGATTTCAAATAAATGCAGTGTTTTAACTGAACATGTATACCGTAATTTAATTCAGGTAACTTTCCCTTATTTCTTACTGATTTTACACAAAAAAATGTCCAAGCATAAGCCTTTGTAATAATATGCTACATTATCAATAGGTAACAGTGCTTTTACTCAGACTGAAGACACTAAGTTATCGAATCTAGCCAGATATACAGTTTTCATTGATTTTTGAACTTGACAAAACTTCTCACTTTCAGTACCTAATTTTAGTATTAGTCCCGGGTAGACTTCTGTTGCTGTTGGCACTAACAACCGAATGAAAATATCGATCAATATAGGTAAACGATTATTCCATACATCGAATATTCGATATATCATTTGGTTGGTTAGGTAAGGTTAACCTGACCTAACTAACCAAACGATATATATCGAATGAAACAATCGAATAACCGATATTTTAATTCGGTTGTTTGTACCAACATTTACCATTTACCATTTACCATCGATGTCTTCTCTGCCGTCCTCGTAGACAGGGGAATCGTCAATTTCTTGTTAATATGTGTATGCGTGTGTGTGAGTTTGAGCATTGCTCTCCTCACACAGATACGGAAGTCTACCCATCATCAGTAACTTAACAAATATTAAGTTATAAAGACATGCTTAAGGATTATAAGGACATGCTTAAGGATTATAAGGACATGCTTAAGGATTATAAGGACATGCTTAAGGATTATAAGGACATATATGCATGTTTCAGCATTAACTTATGTTTCCTGTATTATGCGTGTTCCGAATCTAATCCAACAATGGACAATTCTGGGACCCTACCATGTGGATATTTAGGCTAATCAATAGTTTTACTGTAGGCTAATTTAAAAGAAAGTGTAGGGAATATAGAAAAAAATAATAAAACAAATGCAACAAGTAGGTTAAGATACAGCTTGGAGCTGTCTCCTAAAATCCTAGTATAAATTAAAACTTAGGCCTATCTTAAATTTGAATACTTTGTCTGATTTTTAGCAAGCTGTAAATGTTCTATATGCCATTTAAAAAGTCTTGGTTTTACTATTCACACCGCCCATTATACTGAACTGACAACGTAATAGGATAAAATAGCCTACTTGTAAAAGAGTATTTGCCGCTATTCACACACTGAAAAAGATGCAACGACTCCTACCGTTTCATATTAAACTCTTACTGGTCAAATCACCTGTGTTTCCACACTTCAACGACTGCAACATTAACATTGTGGTCAATACGACTATGGCTTTGGCAACAAAATGATAAATTAGTATGATTAAGCTATTTTATTGTATTAGGATAGATTTTTGTTCAACCTTAGTTATGACGACACTAAATTAAACTGAATGAATAAATGATTATGAAATTAGATGACTAGGCAATTAGAATCTGAATAGGCTAACTTCTAATCTGAATAGGCCTAGGCCTACTTCAATCGAACTCGTTCTGCTATCAATCTTGGAACTCCAATATCCTTCAAATAATTTTGTGTGAATGAGGCGCAAGGGTATCCGATCTGGTTTGTCTACGCTGCTTATTCCTCATTACAGAACTAGGTAGGCTACTGTTTACAATCATTTATTTGTAGCAACCGCATGCCACCTATGGAACTATGTATCTTTATTTAATTTTTATGGTATAGCCTCTGGATCACCGATTTTTTCAACAAAAGGTTTAAATTACCTAGGTACCTATCCGTCAAGTGGTCCTCAATTGTAGTTGTTTGACTATAGCTGTTTTATGTTTATAGGGCAATGTTGCATTGATTTATCCCATCCATGGAATGGTCGTCATGAGGTTGAAAGTTCACAAATAAAATTCGTACACAAAACATTAAAATGGCCAAAACACAAATACACAAAAAACTACATCGGACACGTGCTGTGCCGGTAGAAGGTAGTAAAACGACATCGGACACGTGCAGCGCCGGTAGAAGGCAGTAGTACCTTCTACTCACTTTGTTAACGCCCCAGCATGGATCTGATCCTACAGGTAGAATGTTGGCCACGACCGGCCCCCTCTATGCATTCAATGGGATAAGATACATAAAACAAAAGGTTTAAATTACCTAGGTACCTATCCGTCAAGTGATCCTCGATTGTAGTTGTTTGACTGCAGCTGTTTCGTGTTTATAAACACATCTTCAGGTCAAGGTTGCATTGATTTATCCCATCCATGGATTGGTCGTCATGAGGTTGAAAGTTCACAAATAACACAAGTACACGAAACATTAAACATTAAATTGGCCAAAACACAAATACATAAAAAAATGACATCAGACACGTGCGGTGCGGGTAGAAGGTACTATTACCTTTTGAATTTTGCAAGCGGGTGTATCGGTGGTCTGGGGGGTAAAAAACCCAATCAGGTTCTCTCCGTGTCTTAATTTACGTTACCCTCCAGTAAGAGAAACAAAACAGCACACTTCACTTGGTTTAAAAATAAAAAAAAATCTACTTACATAGTCTTCTTTTAGATAAAAAACAATTCTTTAACCCTGTATAAGAGTGAAAATTTAAAAACGTACGTTTTCATGTCCCTGGCCTTTTACTTCGTAGATACTGGATTTGTAGTTTATTATTATGTGTTTTAATATTGTTTGGGACGGGGGCAACATGTTACACACATTTATTTGGTTTTAAATAGGTTCTAGGTATTTTTTTCGTATTTTTAAAGTCTCGAAATTCACGACCATGACGTGTCCCTAGGGTACATTTTCCAACTTTCACGCTGTTTTTAGACTAATTATTCATGCCGAAATATATAAAGCCATATTTTTATGTCATCAATGGTTATTAAACTTACAAAAAAGGAGCATATTATAATTTTATTGTCATTACAAACTGACTACCATGACAAAATAAGTCTGTCCCTCGATTTGGCGTCACGACCATTTGGGAAAAATTTTCAACTTTGGAGCACGACAGTGGCAAGCCTGGCGTCGATGGAGTCAGTTGGTTTTAGAGACTAGTTCGGGGTGTACGTCAGGATTGTAGTGCCGGTCGTTTCGAGTTGAAAGGAGGAATTACAAGATTAATAAAGGAAAGATTGTGTTTTTTGTAATTTTGGTGTGTCCATGACCGTACGTAGTCATTCGATGAAGTAGACATGGTGTTAATTTTTGTTTATAAGATATTTCAATTGCTAGATTAACCTAGAAGTCCACTTTGTATCCTCGAACATGAGGTGCAGGGCTACCGCCAGAACAGAGCCAAATAACACGTAATTTCACGACCAAAGTTTCACGACCATCGTGGGTTTTTTCACGACCAATCCAGCCTTATGGATTATAGTGTGTTTGGTCGTGACAATAACTTTAATATAATTGTAATTTGTTTACAGTTTAGTTCAATTGAAACACTTATTTTATTATAACTAACAGTATAATTGAAGGATTGTTTAGAAAGATTTAGATTATTTCAGAAAATTCACGACCGTACCGCTTGTCCCTGACCATCACGTTTATGATTTCTATCATAAAAATTTCAAAAATTAAAATATCGTCATATTTCAATGTTTTATTCACAAAATAAGCACACCTCTATACAAACGTAATGATTTTTCGGGTCTCAGGTAAGTTTTTTCGGAGTTATACAAACTTAAAAAGATTTTATTGGCTTTTTTCCAATTTTTGGAGTTTTTTTATTTTTTTCTAGAAAGACCAAATATACCAAAAGCTCAGTGACCTTTTTATTGTATAATGGTCATAAAAGTAAATTAGTTTATAGCAAGACATAGTTATAAAAATAATATTAACTATTTTTAATATTCATTTAAACGTCTGTTATGGTCGTGACAGGATTTTGTGTTTTTCCACTAAAGATGCTCTTTTTTTTAAAAAAATACCAAAGATATTGCGTTACCATGGACATTTTATGAAACTTCAAATGTTAATGAAATAAAAATAATAATAAAAGTTTTGAAAAAAGGGGAAAAAAATTTGCAAAGTGCTTTTCCTGAAAACGTACGTTTTTAAATTTTCACTCATAAAGGGTATGCCAAAAGGAACCCCCCAACCCCTTTATTGAATTTGGGGTACAAATAAAGACCCTAAGAACATCATTTGACATCTGAACCTTACTTAATATAACATGTGGTAAATTAAGATAATTTTTCCTGTGACGTGTAGGCCTATTGTAGGAATGGATGTCGCCTCTTAGCTCAAGAGAATCCCACTCCTTCTTGATTTTGTGCAAAGACTGTAAAATATAAATGTTACAAACCGTCATTATGTTTTCAGCTACAAATATTGGTGTACAATGATCCAAGTAAGCACCAGCTACTACTCTAACACTTTCTTTTGAAAGAGGAGAACTCTCTTGACCCCAGAGCCTTAGGCCTAGGCCATACAATAAAATACTCTGAAAGAAAGCAATAAGCAGTTTTCGTTTTCAACCAGTCTTTTGGTACAAAATATCTCAATCTTCTGAGTAGACACAGAGCTCTGGAAAGTCTAACACAAACATGGCTAATCTGTTCATTCCATTTTACTTTGTTGTCAAGATGTAAGACTAGAAGTTTGAAAGATTTTACATTATGTTAGGCTAAAGATTATCGACTTAGTCTTTGTTTCATTTAGAAAAAAGTTATTTGCTTATTGGAACCAGGCTGATGCCCCCTCAAGAGACCGTTTCATGGCTTTCTCAAGATCTCGCCAGCTCATTGCTAGCTTCAAAGAGAGTAGTATCATCTGCGTAACGGATGACAAGTTGCCCCAAACACAAAGGGAGATCATTTAGCATCTTATTAAAAAGTAAGGGATCATTGAGCCCTGAGGTATACCATGGGTCGATTGGTGTACACTGGATCATCTACCGTTTATACAAACCAGCTGTCCACGCCCAGTCAGGTATGATTTAAAAAGTTAAAAAAGTTTCCCCTTAACACCATAATAACTTTCCCAGGAGAGTGTCATGATCAACCATGTCAAAGGCCTTTCTGAGGTCACAAAGAGTGGCCCTAGCAAAGCCCCATCCTCAAAGACTTAAAAACAGCTTTTATTAAGACAATTTGTGATAGACAAAAAAAAACAGAAGTTGTAAAATATTATGTTTTTTCATATGAAACGGTCATTCATGGGTTTTTTATATGGTGATCACTCATTGGTGCACTCACCCTATGTTATTTTTTAAACAGCTTTAATCTTTAGCTGGTCCATGCAGATTAAATGACTTCTTCAGTATCCAAAGTCAATGGTACTACTAGTTATGAATAAATGCTTTTTGTTCCTGTCTAGCTGATAGCATTTTTATAAAGGGGAATTACATGAAGTACTAAAACATTTTGAGGGAAAGCAGTCTAAACCCATATGGTGTTGTGAATGTGCCAGGAATTGAACCCGTCCCCAAAGTCTTGAGACGCCAACCCCTAGTTTAGCAACACACTTTAATCATTTATAAATTCTTCACTGTTATTTACAGGAGTGACAGTGAATGCCGACGGATGTCAGAGATCGAAGGGTTCGGAGTGTGAACATCGTTGCGGCAAAGAGCTCGACCCTGTCTGTGGCACAGACGGCCGAACCTACCTCAATAGATGCATGCTGCAAGTTGAGATCTGTAGGTGAGAAAATTATCTCAGATTACTTTAAATTTATATAGAACTATATTTCCAACAACCTGAACAATTTCTATATTTAAATTAGATAAATTGCTTTGGTTGACTTTTAAAACTCTAAGCATCTGAAAACTGGCTGGGGCTTACCTCTCCTTCACAGTACTCTGATTCCCTATATTCTGGAGAAAGTTATGCTAAGGTAAACTTCACCAGTAATACAATATGTAGCTTCAGTTATAAATTTTTTTCAAAATAGGTATGGTAGTTTAGATCAATCAACAAATAATTGTCTCTAGAAAACATGATGGAATATTATTCAACTGTGCACCCCTTTGAAACAAGCGCTATCTAATACTATTCTATTGCATAACATATACATATAACAAATTACAAAACTACTGCATGAGATAGCAACTAGTTTTCACAATCTTCGTGTCAATTTAGTTTCATTATTTTATTTTTCAACATTGCCATAAGTTTTTATCATCAAAGGTAGAAAATCATGTATTAAATCAGGGGTTCTCAACCTTTTAAGAGCCTTAGAACCTTTTACAACCTTTTACTTTTTTTTAGCAAAAGTATCCTGAAATTTCCTCATACCACTATCCCCCTACCCACCATATTAATCTCATATATCATATTTAATTGCGACATCCCTCTTTGTAAAACTAACAATATCCAATTTTTTATAAGGTAATGTGATTAAATATCATTTTTGCTTTGTTTGTTATTTGTAATTTATTATTTTTCTAGGAGGGCTCATGCCCCCCCCCTGAAACCCTTCCATGCCCCCCACAGAGGTTGAGAACTGCTGTTTTAAACTATACATAACAATGTTTGCTGGGTTTTAAATTTCAGTTTTGTTATTTATATATCTGTAGATTACTCATTTATAAGAGAAAAAAACCATCTTCAAAGCTTGTTTTAGAATAAGAAAAACTCAATTCAGTTGAGCCACTGAAGAAAATGTGTTGCTGTAAATGTAAAATATGATTTTCTTACAAAATACAGCAAAAAGTTTCCACACGCCTAACTAAAGGAACGACCTATTGTTGCTGAAACATTCCTAAAGTACTTATCATCTATCCTAGCATGAAAAATAGTAGAGAAAAATACCTTAATCATAACATTTAGTGACTCAATGCTGCAGTTTTAACCAATTGTTCAGGTTTTTATCACTAATATATATTCATGAGTAAAAGAAAAGTTGATTAGAAATGAGTGAGATGCCTTAATTGTGAAGCTTTTATTTGTCACTGACTAAGACCTGCTATTTAGCCAGGACCATTTATTAAAAGCCTAACAAGATCATCTGGGTCCAGTTTTAAATCATCAAAAAGCTATATTGATTTCCTTGGTATCAAATAGTATAACAAATTAGCGAACCCTCTGACAGGCTTATTGAACTATGTTTACTTTGAATACAAGACTGGTTACAGCTGATCATCCTCCTGATGGTTTGTCGTCTGCTGTGTTGCAGGTTAGGGATCGGCCTGTCACATCTGGGGCCGTGCAACAACATCTCTGCGCACAGAGAGAACTGCCCAGTCAACTGTGACCAAGCGCCCATGGACGGGCCAGTCTGTGGGTCTGATGGTAACGTCTACCCTCACACTTGCCAGATGAAGCTGCTGACCTGCGGGTAGGTGGAATAACTAGCCTCAGTCCTATACTACTGCTACTGCTAGGGCCTGTTTTTTGTCACCTCAGTAGCATGTTGTTTGGAAGAATCTATTATATTATTAAAGTGATACAATCAAATTTTATGTAAACGGTTAAGGTCATTTACCAAATAAAAGTATAGGCATATGGCACATCAAAATGAAGCTTAGAGTGTGTAGATTTGCCGAAAAGTATTGAAATGGACGTATTTCCTAGGGGCTCTGCCCCACAGGCTGATTCCAATGTTTAAGTGATTTAATTTAATTTAGTTAATGAAACAGCTGTTCAGTACAATGAACTGGTGTTTGTTTATTTACTCGAAAAATATGTTTGTGCTGCTTTATGTAGATTGAGGTGGGTTATGTTTGGTTTTAAAGTGAGGTTGTATACGTTTCGTAAAGTATTGATCAAAGTTTCATATTTTAATTTATATTTAGCTACATGTAAAGAGGCTTAACTAAAATTGAAGAATTGTGGTAAAACATGTTATTCATGAAGCATCAATATGAAGCAATTGATGCTATTACTACACTAAGGTATGTTGTCATATTCTTACGGATTTTTTAGCTTCAAAAGAATGGGGTTGAAAGTAGTAGGTAGGCTTACGCTTTTAAAATCAGTTTAGCCTATATTTTTAAACTAAATCATAGAGTTGCTGTATTTTAAAACACACATCAGCACCAATTTATAGCTCTTTAGGTCACATTTTCTTCCCGTTGCAAAGCACGGGTATAGCAGCTTGTCGATATTTAAAATGAAATCCAATCTTAACCGCTTAAATACTTTTGAACCAACCTTGTCCCCCTTGCATCATGAATTTGTTTGTCATGAAGAAATCATTGAAAAAAACAAAGTGTAGGCCTATTTATGCACACCAATTAATAAATTAAAATTATTTTGGAAATTGACAGGAAAGCATGCCTACCTTTCAATTAGTCCATAGAGACACATAAACATCTCAGAAGTATAAATTTTCACTCGAGAAATGGCGATTCCTATCAATTTCCTAAACAATTCCTGGCAAATGCCCTATCTTTTAATCAGGTAAAATTTAATATATTGTGTTTTGTTTTATTTTTTAGTATTTCTACTTACCATTAGTATCATTCTTTGTGATACTATGACTAAAGTTTTACTCTTTGGGAGGAGTTGAAATTTTATACAAAAACATGTTGAAAATATCAAATGTTTTAAATGCTTTCTACCTTTGAAACCCAGAACCTCTCTCTTCTAACAAATTTATTTATTTTGGCGTTGTTGTATATGAATTAAATGTTTACAATCCATTATTGTTTATGCACTTAACCTCACTCAATATTCCTCTTTGCCTCAACAAATCTCTCTTGTTTCAGCCAAGGTGTGGTTAGGACGTCCAAGAAGCACTGTCAGACTACGAGACATTGCCGAGAGTCTTGCTGGCGAGTCTCCAAGCCTACTTGTGGATCCGATGGACACATCTACTCCAACGCTTGCCGCATGAAGGCCAAAAACTGCGGGTAATGCCTCACGGTAACAGGCTGTGATACGTCTTATTAGTTATAACCTCTCTCTCAACTTCCTACAAATCAAATCAAATAAAACACTTTAACATAAAGCATTAATTGCTATAAAAAAGGCAGACATCTTACTAATATTATAAATGTTAAAGTTTGTGTGTTTGTTTGTTTGTTTTTGTGTTTGAAGGTCAATCACGCATAAACCACTGGATGGCTTGGGCTGAAATTTGGCATGATGATAGCTCACATTCCCGATTAACATATAGGCATATTCTTATCTTAAAAATCCCTTCGGGCTCCACCCCAGTGGCTCTTTAGTTCCCCATGTTAACCTTATGAGTATTCATATTTAAAGGGAATTAAATAATTTAGTCAGCTGTTTCAACTAAAAAAGTTGGTTCTATGATATACAAAGAAAGTGTTCCAGGCACGAGCCCTGGATTATTTTTCACATTACTTCAGGCTTAGGAGATGTAGCATTATCACTTAGATAAAATCCATTGGTGATGTGTCGGGATTTGAACCCGGGACCACTTGGACCCGCACTCTAACCACTAAACGAGCTCGCTCCCCGTTCTAGTTTATGTTTAAACCAATGAAATGTAACGGACATTGCATTAGCTTCTCTCTAAGAAGTAATCTTATCTTAATCTTAATCCTACTAATATTATAAATGAGAAAGTTTGGATGTATGGATGTATGGATGTATGGATGTATGTTTGTGACAAGTGAACGCGAAAAATACTGGTCGGATTGGGCTGAAATTTGGCATGATGATAGCTCACATTCCCGATTAACATATAGGCATATTCTTATTTCAAAAGTCCTTTCGGGCTCCGCCCCAGTGGCTCTGGAGTTTCCCATGTTACCCTTATGAGAAATGAAATTATTGAGTCTTAACAGCTGTTTCAATTAAACAAGTTGGTTCTGTTCTATGATGTTAAATCGCATTAAAGTTACAAGGATTACCAACAGGGTGCAGCACTATTATTTCTTTTACATTTATGACAACAGCTAATTTGCAACCAAAAGGTGAGTGAGCGTAGCGAACGAACTTCAACCTGGAGGCGAGTTAGCGTAGCGAAGAGCTAACCTGAAGCACAGAAAATAATATTTTGTGCCTGAAGGCAAGTGAGCGCAGCGAACGAGCTCCAACCTAAAGGTGAGTGAGCGTAGCGAACGAGCTCCAACCTAAAGGTGAGTGAGCGTAGCGAACAAACTTCAACCAGGACGTGATTGAGCCATGCGAACGGGATAATCTTGAAAATTAAGAAGTTAAACGGGGCAAAGCCCGCGGGTTACAGCTAGTAATATTATAAATCTTAATCCTACTAATATTATAAATGAGAAAGTTTGGATGTATGGATGTATGGATGGATGTATGTTTGTGACAAGTGAACGCGAAAAATACTGGTCGGATTGGGCTGAAATTTGGCATGATGATAGCTCACATTCCCGATTAACATATAGGCATATTCTTATTTCAAAAATCCTTTCGGGCTTCGCCCCAGTGGCTCTGGAGTTTCCCATGTTAACCTTATGAGAAATGAAATTATTGAATATTAACAGCTGTTTCAATTAAACAAGTTGGTTCTGTTCTGTGATGTTCAATAGCATTAAAGTTACAAAAATTACCAACAGGGTGCAGCACATCTTTCTTTCTTTACATTTCTTTTACATTTATGACAACAGCTAATTTGCAACCAAAAGGTGAGTGAGCGTAGCGAACGAACTTCAACCTGGAGGCGAGTTAGCGTAGCGAACGAGCTAACCTGAAGGCAAGTGAGCGCAGCGAACGAGCTCCAACCTAAAGGTGAGTGAGCGTAGCGAACGAGCTCCAACCTAAAGGTGAGTGAGCATAGCGAACAAACTTCAACCAGGACGTGATTGAGCCATGCGAACGAGATAATCTTGAAAATTAAGAAGTTAAACGGGGCAAAGCCCGCGGGTTACAGCTAGTAATATTATAAATGTGAAAGTTTGTGTGTTTGTTTGTTTGTTTGAAGTTCAATCACGCATAAACCACCGGACGGATTGGGCTGAAATTTGGCATGATGATAGCTTACATTCCCGATTAACATATACGCATATTCTTATCTCAAAAATCCTTTCGGGCTCCGCCCCAGTGGCTCTGTAATTCCCCATGTTAACCTTATGAGTATTCATATTTAAAGGGAATTAAATAATTTAGTCAGCTGTTTCAACTAAAAAAGTTGGTTCTATGATATACAAAAGCATTAAAAAGTTATAAGATTTACCAACAGGGTGCAGCACTTTATTTTTTTTGCATTTATGTAAACAGCTAATTTGAACTAAGCAGCAACAAACAACTGTGATACGCAATGAGAACTGTCAAAGTAGGATTGTTTACAGTTATGTTTATGTTTTTAATGTCATGAATAATTTGTGATTTTTAAAATTTGTAATACATTATTTTTCTTTATTGTTTAGGTGAAGAGGTAGAACACTATGGCTATGGCAGATGTGTAATACCATAGTATACCGTCAATTTAAAGAAGCAAATTTTATCATACTTTGTCCTCCCCCATTGCAAACGCAAAGCTTGAGTATAACTGCAATAAGCAATTTAAACTTATATGCCAACCCCGTACGAAGGAAGGGTACTCTGCTAGTTGTCCATATATGGTTAATTTATAGTCTAACTGTGCTCAAACTAGCTACTTAGCATTGAAAATTAATAAATATTAAGAATAGTATCATAAATCAGGATCCCAAACACTTTTTGACTAGGTACTGGTATTGGGTTTTTGCAATAAAAAATGTATAGTTTGTTTTCAAGTGGGTTTGCATTTGCATTGATTTGATTTTTTATCTCACAGGGTAATTATTATGCAACTTTAAGTCATCAACGCTGGCAATTTATGGAGTGTTTGTGTAGTTACTTGTCAAATCTAGTAAATTATAGACTTACATTTTGTATTATAACGTCATAGTCATATCAAAAGTCTTCCTCTTATTGGCATGATTATGATGTAATTGTGCATTTAAACGTATACTATATACAAATAAATAAATAAATTAATTAATAAATTGCCTATGGAACTAATCAGGAAAATTGGTTGGCTAAGGTAAAATTATTATGTAACTAAAAATATATATTCACATAAAAAATCAATTTAGTGAGTTAACAGTATTTTTGAAATGAAAAAAATATAATACACCCAGTAAAATTCTGTAACCATGCTTGAGTGGCCAATTTTTGCATTCGAGTGATGATGCTAAATTGCAGTTTGCAGTCGAGTTGTAAGCATACGCATCTCTAGGCAATTATGTATTTCACACTACATGGTTAAAACTAGTTTGCATTTCCTCAAGGTCGTACCAACAGCAGTATCGATGTGTAATTTTTGCCAATAAATTTTTCTACCTGACATGATGAAGTAATCCTCAGCACAATTAGACAAGCAGCAAATAAGTAATGATAGAGTGTCGACAGTTGAGTCTGTATTGAATCACGCTTGTTTTGCAATCTGCATCCTATTGCTGGATAATCTTCTCTGCGTGTTAAATTGTTAAGTGCATAGTCAAGCATATAAGTGTATGATTGGTATGAAAACAGACTATAAAACTGGATCAAGTGTTTAAAGTAGATATTTTGCTCACAATCAATGTAAAACTGATAATATTACATGAGTGAAGGCCAACTTGATATATAGGTTAAGAATAAATTTTGGTTTTATTTTGCATTTTTAACAATTTTTCCCTAGTACTTTTACCCCCAATAGGCCTATTACTTTAATTTTTTCCACTTAAAAAGTCTCAATTCCATTCTTTAGAACATTTGCAGGCGAATTTAAATGTTTATACTGGTACGATCCTTAAACACTGTTGAACCCTTAAGACACTTGGTATATGGGTTTTACTGTATACCATTTCACAAACATCTGTTTGCTGTAGTCTCATACAAGTATAACTTAAATTACTGCGCAGGATGCCAAATTTCACCCGTCACACTGTTTGTTGCAGGAAACATGTGTTCGAGGTGCCGATGGCGTTCTGTGTATCCCAAGAACGTACTCCAGGGGCCGCTGCTGCTTGTCCTACGTCATGTGCCGGAGAGAGAGAACGCCTCACTTGCGGATCAGACGGAAACATTTACCGCAGCGAGTGTGAACTCAAGATGCTCAATTGCGGGTGAGGAATGCATAGCTTTCTTGTCAACTTATTTATTTGTTTTAAATAATCTATCGTACTGGTTTTATGCTCTGCAGTAAACATCTAATTTTTTCAAAGATTGAAAATTGCCAATTCAAGAAATCTTTGAACAGATACCATTCTTTACTCAGTTAATTTACTTGTCCGTTTGGTTTGGATTTTCTGCATTGTATTTTACTAACTAAATAAGGATCTTTAATTAAAAATGCATACAAACCAATGCTTACATTTAAGAATCTCCTCTCACTCCTAGTGGGCCCGTCCCCCTTGAGGAGTGTCACCAAAAATGTGTTAATATGATCTATTTGACCATTAACTTTGTTTCTGAGTTTTAACGAATTTCCCATATTGGGAATAAGCTATTACTGTGGGTCTCATGCTAAGACCCACGGATCTCATGGTACTTGGTATTCAAACCCAGGACCAATTTGAGGTCCCCAGAGGCCAAAAACATATTCTGTTCAAATTCATATATATATTTGTCTGTAAGCGTGAAAACTTGAGCAAAAATAATCCGATTTCAATGAAATTTGGTACAAACGTTTATTTCAAAGAGGACAGATGATATGGTTTTAAACTTGAGCATAATGTCTTCCATGGTGTACACATACTGTTGTTTTATACTTGGCAGGAGAGTCAATTATCTTTCACAACGTTTTTGAATGATGAAGTATCATGATATCAACTTTAATAATTGATTTTCTAGTTCTGTTTTTTACAAACCATTATCCAACTAAGTAATTTATTTTGTCTAGCTTATAACAAAAATAGATCATACAATTCTCTTCCACAGTTTACTGTCCAAGCGAGCAGTCAAGAAGGTAGACATAGAGAAGTGCCGAGGTAAGCTGATCAAGTGCAGTAAGCAGTCTTGCCCTGACAACCCTGTAGACCCTGTGTGTGGCAGTGACGCGAAGACATACAACAGCATGTGTCATCTACAGGCAGCGACCTGCATGTGAGTGGGCAATTATATCACTTGTCAATTAGCTATAAATAGGGCTACCGCTACCATATACCATAACTATCACAGAATGAGAAGAAAATGTGTTTATTGCATTGCACTTGGAGCCAACTGCAAGAAAAAATTCAAATGATAAAAAACCTTTAAAAAAAATAAAAACAACTTTTTACCATCAATGGAAATTAATGGGTAAATATTCTTTTATTGTTTTGGTTAAAAACAAAAGTACAAGTGTTAAAATTTAATAGTTAATTTCTATTTCATTACTAGGGCGTAAAGTGACTCTTTACGATCCTAGTTCAAGATTCACAACCAAGGTGAAGCAGAGGTAAAAAAAATAATAAATTTGTTAAATCTATTTTATATGGCCCGTTAATACAAACCAAGCCCCTTTTTACTGTAATCGTTGTTGCTAATATTCTCCTAATCATAAAACTTAGAATCTGTCGGGAGCCAAACAAGTACCTCTTAACCTCTGGTCTTTGAACAAACTGTCAAATTAAAGTATTTACAGCTGACTCCAATTGATATATTATTAACATTCTTCCAAAATGTAAACATTAAGGCTTTGGAAACCTAGCCCAATATGAAAATTTAAATGATTTAATATTAAATTGTCATATATTTGTGAGCTATGTTTCCAGTTTTAAGTATCTAGCTCATCGGGAAGTTAGTTTAAAGTCAATTGCAAAATTTGTACCGAACAAACAAGAAAGCGAGCTAATAAAAACATTTTAATAAGCTACAATCAATTAAATCTATCTGTACATAATTTTGATTTTGATACAAGGGATTGCTTATAATCAATGTTTACAACCAAGTTTTAAAACAGCTGACTTTTACTCCCTAGGTACTAAAAAGGGGGTTTACTCCCTAGGAGCTAGACTTTTTATTCCCTAGGGATTAAAATAGCTACTTTAGAACCTAAAAAAATCCATTTCATCCATTCAACAATTGTACTACACTCATCTTTGCTTTAAAAATATGCACCCCGACCCGGGTGTGTATAGGTGTCAAAAAATCAAAATATAATCTAATCTATCTTAGAACAGTCAAGGAAAAACTAAGAAATAGAACAAGCTTAACTGTCACATTGCTATCGTCATAGACTAAGCAACACAAGTATGTTTTATCTATGCTATCGTGTACTGTGCAGGAAGGGTGTACAGCTGGCGCACTTGGGCAAGTGTGCAGCTCTACTAGAACCTGAGAATTGTCCTGACGAGTGTGATGCTGACGAGGTCTCCCCTACATGCGGATCTGACGGAAACGTCTACAGGTAACATGACTGGAAAGGTGGCCAGGGAATGGGGAGACAGTCAACTAGGGATTCATTATAAAGTTCTTTTAACCTTTGACTATTGATAGATCTAGAAATTCTATCCTTATGTTAAAGTTGTTGCCAGTTTTAGGATGAAAATGGACGTAGTTGAGTTAAGTCACCGACAGCTGAAGTAAATTACTGATTTTGTCGAACACGCCAACTTAGTAACTTAACTTAACTAAATAAAACTGATGGGACAACTTATTGTAAGTTGTAGCATCTTTCACCTCATATATTCCAGTAGCAAAAATTAAATTTTATAATTGTAATAAATAATATAATAAATTGCAAGTACTAAAGAAGCCTAAGAAACAAATTAAACTAAAAGTGTAAGGATGATAATTTCCAACTATTTTTAGTATACATTGGTTTACAGGTAGGCCCTACATTTGGTTAGTTTGGAAAATACACTTTTGGAGTTAGATAATTTTCTTTAAATAAATAATTAATATTCAGTAGTTGATTCTTATTTTTTAGGTTAAAGAACTTTATCTTAAGAGTGAAATTTTCAGATCATACTGTGAGCTGAAGAAAGCGACATGTGGACAGCGTGTGGTAGCAGTACCGTTGCATCACTGCGCGACCACAGCTGCGTGTAACCAGGAGTGTGGCAAAGAGCGCAACTTTGTATGTGGCTCTGATAACAAGTTCTACAGAAACGAGTGCGAGATGAAGAGAGACAACTGCGGGTAAACTTTGCATCATTTTTTATTTTTGTGCATCATTTAATAACTGTACAGCCTTTTCTTAGGTTTAAAAAGTTGCACTGAGTTCGCTATGAGTACCAGTTTCATCTGGGGAAAAGGATTAAACACTTTGATGGCTTAAGGCTGGATCAAGCAGTCCTTGATCCTTGTTGGACTTTTACTGAAATTACTGTAAAGAAAAGAACCACATCAAATAAAGAATCCTCCAATTTCGGTTTGTAACAAAGATAATATACATTTGTGCACACCCATCCCTCTTCCATTTTTTTATAAACCAAGTACTGTGGAGAGTCTATTAAGTAAATATCCAAATCCTTGCTTTTGAGCACACATGGCATTTCAATTAAGTACTGCAGTAGACTCCCTCTTATCCGGACACTTTTTAACAGGACATTGGTTTAATCGGACTACACTCGGTGGAAATGACATCTCTTTAACTGGACAGTTTTTATCAGCACATTGGTTTAACCGGACTATTTAGGCAGGAAGTGGGCGGTACTGAAACGACTTTTCTCGTAGGAAAAGATTTGAGACCAGTGATCAAGTGTCTAAATATAATGCTCTCCTAATTTTATGTCGATAATCACAGTAAACGGTCCATTTTAACGAGTTTTTGGGGAGGTCGGTGTAACCGGAAAAACTGTTATCCGGACTGGCCTCGGTCCCGAGGAGTCCGGATAAGAGGGAGTCTACTGTAATTAAATTGTCCACCATCTAGGCAATAGCATTTTTGTAGTTATCAACTAAAAAAAGGAGTTATCAATAATGCAATTTTGGTCCTACAGGAAAAAATAAAAATTTTAGTAACAAAATATAGTTCAGTTTGTGCGTTTTGTTTATCTTTATAAAAATAATTTAAATAATTTCACAAAACACTCCTTTTCTAACTAGCATTTTACACTCAATACCCTTTCTTTACTTACAGGAAACATGTATTCGTGGTCCCCATGAAGAGATGTTTGCAAGGCTTCCAGTTCAAGGGATGCAATCGCATCTGTCCCACCATCTACGACCCAATCTGCGGCACCGACAACAAGACCTACTCCAACGACTGCTTCCTGGAGATGGAGAACTGCAGATCACGAGCTCTCGTGTCCAAGCAACATCATGGCATCTGCGGACATCCCGTCGACGAGCCCAAGAACTATCTGTACTGACCACGGACATTTCTTGCCATCAGTAGTTATAGTAGGTAGCCTAAAACAATGATTGACACTCGACGCTCATATTGAGTGTTGCAGGTGTAATGTATACAAAGCCATCAAGTTGTAATCAGCAGCGTCTGGTTACAATGTTTTATGTTGATTGATTTTCATCTCGTTGTGAAATGAGATTGGGTTTTTATGAGTTTCTGGCAGTAAACATTCCAAATTTTGTTTACAAATCATTTTATTTGGGCAGTTATTTCCTACTTTTTTTAGAAAAAGGATTTGGATTATCATCCTTAGGAAGATTACTTAAAAGGACACAGATGAAATTTATGTACAGTAAAATTGAACTGTAAATAGCATAAAATTCATGCCTGGAAGATTTTTAGTATACTAGTCAATTTACTTTGATGAAAGTACTTTGTATAGTCCAGAACTTGTTGATATGCAAACATTTGAACTTAGCTACATTCTCCTCTGCCACTTCTGAGCCATATTTGTCACTTCAATATTGTTTCTCGCCACTGGGTTTTAAATTAGTATGCCAGTAGCTTTTACTCTTTGTTAGTTACTATCTTCATTACTTATATCTTACTTATATACTTGTCCATATCTTCATGTCAATTGACTATCATCATTCATGTCAATGTCATCTAAACTATCAGTGTATTTTATTCTAAACTTGTACCCTTTGAAAATTTTCATACCAAAAAAGAGGATCAACAACTTTATATCCCTGAATGAATGTGATTTGGCTTCCTTTCACTATATCTAAATAATGCTCTATCCTGTTGTAAATTTATACAAGTTCCAACCAATACAACTTCCAGTAGCTCTGGTGAAATTCAAAGTAATATGTCTTAAAATACAAATATGTTTAACAATATTTGTTATTGAGTTTACATTAAGATCCAAGTAATTCCATCTTTGGAATCCTTAACACTGTGTTCGTAATCTCACTACAAACGTCTAGCCTAGTTTTAAGTTTTATAGTTTCCAGTCATTTAGATTAAGATTTTTATCTCATTTTTACTTTGTGTAATGTAATTTTATTTTGTAGTGTTCATCAATCTGACGGATTCTAATAATTCTCTAGATATTTATTGATACAAATCAAACTTGAGTATCGCTCGCTAAAGCTGTCTTCTATAGTTTAGTGATTGTATAAACTATTATATTTATTACTTTTAAATACAATGTATATTGTATTTTAATTTGTATTTATACAATTAAATTATCTTAAACAATTATTTTTGTTTGATATTTATCACTGGTGTATTAACAACTCATAAACTTAATACTATTTTCTGTAAAGCCTTTTGAATATTGGAAAAAGTTAAATAATGGTTAAGAAAAATAGAAAATACAAAAAAATCCAATTACATTGATAATACTACCGGTTTTAAGTAGATTAAAATTGATTATTCTCAGTTCATACCCTTTGCAAAGCTATGGTAGGTGCTTAGATTACTGAAATAGTTGTATCTCTTTCATTATCTCATTAGTACAGACATTGACTATACACAGGTACAGTTCTTCTATCTTAACAATTAGTTTAAATAGGTATATCAAAACTCCATCTTACAATTTATACTTTTATTTTGTATTTTACATGATTCTCAAATGATATTTGTTTCGGGGAGTTAGACAGGGGCGATCAATGCACACAAGGGGTTGGTAATATATATACATATAACCAATATAAGTTCCTACACACCGAGTTCACAATTTGCTGAGTCTTGTTTTAAAACCTCCTACGTTGTTAAAAAGCGGTAAAACATAACGGCAAAAATAAACTGTAAAATACAACACGCTTTCAACATTTTAAACTATGTTTAAAAAACATTTGTTTTCTTTAGTAGGCCATTTTGATTATTCTAAAGTAAGAATCGCTAATCTTACTTATTTTACATGATACACACATTTTGCCAGCAAAGGCTAGATAGATGGCGTAGCATTTCATCTCCTCATGAAGCAGAGAAAGAAATAAGCGCAATGCTGAAGTGAGAAAAATGTTTTACCTGTAGGAAAATTTGATATTTAGTTCAGATCAGTTCCAAAAATAAACTACCAAGTCCCATTAGGTGTAGATGCGAGATATGTTCAAAATGTGAACCACTTGTAAGGGGATTTAAAAATTGTTGCGTAAAACATTTAATAAAGAATTCAGTTTCATAGAAACGTTGAATCCTTTTTATTACATGACTAGGGATTGAATACAATTTCATTTGTTTTTATCGTAGGATTTAACAACTAAAGAGTTCATAAAATTTAGCATAAGCCATTTATCCAAGAAAATTAATGTTGTAACAGTAATGGAAATAAGTTGAGTGAGCATTTTTTTAGAGCACTAAGATAAAAACGAATCTCATCTTTTCGCAGTTGTTAGTTATCTGCAGAATCCTTATGGTTTAAATTTGGTTATGAAGAATAAGGCGTCTCATGTTAGGTTTACACTAAAAGATTCAATCAAAATATTTTGTGTTGAAAATAAAAGTGTAATGAATGACTAGATTAACAAATATAAAGATTTACAAATGTATTCCCTTATCATAAAGTTATTACTGATTTATGGGAGAAAGCCATTGTTAATACTGTTAATAGACAAGTTCCTGAATTAGAAGATGTTGAAAGTTCACACATCCAAGCAAGAATTGCATTATGGAGTTACTAAACTACAACGTTCCTACAAATCCAAAAGAAGTAGTCCAGCCACAACAGAAAATATATTTTTTAAATTGATTTTTACAGAAACTTGAAATCTTTTAAAAATATACTTCAAGTCTTTGACAACAAATCAATTATTCTACAATTAAAACCAAATACAATGCAATTTGTATATTTCAGTTAATTTATAAAAAATAGTTCACAAATAAATAGTAATAGATCAATGCAATTTAACCTTAACATTTTCTGTAAAAGGAGCTTTAAATGGAAAATTGACTGTTGACTCACTTTTGAAAGAGAACTTGTGTATGTATGAAAATAAACTTTCATCATTAGGCCTAAACGATGGTCCCAAAAACTTTAATTTATTGTAAAGGAGTTTAGTTAGAATTTTTAAAACAATATAATTTGTTTGGCGTCTTTACTAACGAACAGCCACCAAACGCTCAGAACACTTGAATATGGAAATACAAGCAAATTGATTTCACAAATAATAAGTATGACTTTATTGAATCTAGTTGTTTATCTGTTAAGATAAACTGGTGAAGAGTTAGTTGAAAACTATATGCTCAAATAGAAAAATCCCAAATCAGTATAATCTAGCTTACAAGTGTGCAAAAAGTACATGGCAGATTTCAAAATGCAAAATTATGGTGTTACACCTTTTATGGATGGACATACATTAGATACCTTCTCTATGAGTTCATATACATGTATCCTCTTTTCAATAACAGTTTGTCAAAAAACAAAAATGTGGCCTTAAGAGTTGTATCAAGGCCCCCCTAGAAAAAGCAGGCCATGCTGCAGGATCCATGACGTCACACTAGTGGATAGATTTCATTGATAAGTTCATTGCCATCACCATTCCCATATGTTTTAAGTAAATAAACAAGCTGGCTGTTTGTAAGAGTTTAGTACAATTATCCACCACTGTGACGTAGTGTTGCGCTGCCCATGCTGCAGCATGGCCTGTTTTTTTCTAGTGGGGCCTTGGTTGTATGGACTTGTAAGAAATCTATAGATTAACAACCAAGAACAAGAACAAAAACAAAAAACTTACAAAATTAATTTACTTAGCACATAAGAAACAGTTAGTAACTAATCGATAATCTACCAACAAAAATGTTAGACAGCAAACATAACACTACTAATAGTAATATTTTGTACTTATTGATAAACTCAACCACAAACTCAACAATTACAGATCCCAGGGCTGGGAATCAATCTCAGCATCTCCAAGACAAATCTAGCTTGAAATGAGCTTAACAGTGAGATTGTATTAACTTTGATAACCAGTGCTGTTGCAAATCATTCAGTTGATGAACAAATTGACTTTTTAATCCCTCTAAAACTTAAAGATTTTGTGATACATACTTGGTAGTGGCGTTTTGCTTATTGAGAGTTTAATTTTTTTGAAAAAAATTAAACTATCGAGCTATTTTTATTAACACAAATTTACTTAGTTATTGTACTTAGTTAAAATTGTTATTGTATTTAAATATCAGTTTATCATATTTCAGAAAAGTTTTTTTAACCATTGTTATTTTCCCACATTTGATGAATTTTGGCTGATTATGATACTGGAACCGTTTGAGAAATTTTAAAGTTTCTACCAATTTTTCAAATACCTCATGATTTGTTTTAATCTCATCTTACATTAATCAAGTTGAAATTACAAAATATTTTTCTTAAAAAATGTAAAGGTAATGTATAGCTGGATAAAAATTAAATGGTGTAACAAAAAAAAAATTACAGAAAACAGGGACAGGCAACAAATTGGTAGTTTTGACAACTTTACATTTAAGATTAGGAATGGTGTATGTCTATTAGCGAAACTTTTTTCTTTGAACATTGTTGACCTAAAACAAGGGTTCTGTAATCCTTACAATAACCACTCAAAGCATCACTGAACAATTCACTACATACAATTTGCAAACAGCCAATATTTGATTAATAGTAGGAGGTTTGAATCGATTAAAGGTATTTTCAAAAGACAAAGTTGAGAGTCATGAAAAATTTGAAATTTGGTACGTAGATAAGTGCAAACATTCCAAGCTAGATATAAAAGTTTATTGAAACACCGTATTTCAGCAGAGTACATGCTTCCCTCTCACAATAATTAGTATAAATATATATCCTATAACTAAATGAAACATTATGAAAATTAAATATTTATTTTATTTAAAACATTTTATATATAATATATATCGTGAATAAAATTCAGTACGGCCAGCGTCCTGTAATCCATCAGATAAGGTTAACGAACTAGATATTTTCAGTCCCGTCTCTAACACTGAACTCTTTCATGCTACAAAAAGCTCTAGTATACATTTACGAAAATATCCGCTAATCGTACTCGAATCTCCGATTAGAGTAATCTACAAATGACTGAACACGAGATCTATGATAAACTCACACAAAACTAATTTCTCATTTAACAGAAGGATTTCTCACGAGCGCTTGCACAAAGTGTTTACCGGTTTGACGGGATTCGTTAATGAAATCAAAGAATAATTCTATACGAATAGATTTAAATGCCTTATGACTAAATGTTTAACCTAACATAAACTTAAGACTATTAAAATATGTCAAATAGGAAACTTACATAAAATTACTGTCTTAAAACTATCATGACAGAACCAGCTATCATTTCATTGCAAAATATTACATACACGTTACGAGTGCAACTAAATCACATTATGCCCTAGACAACATTTAATGACAATCACTATCAATACTGTAGCATGAAAAGTTCAGTATCTTGTTTCCGTTTTTACACTCTAAGCTAACGTATTGCTAATAATGACCTAACTCAGATTTTTACTGTATGCCTGAAAACAAAATAAATATGCAGTCACCTTGTTCAAGTCTTTTAGACCGTTTGGTGAAAGCGGCTTTATCTGTCGACCCAATACACAATCTCAACTGGTGGATCTCTCCATGGATGTCTTGTCGCACCGAAAGAAATCGGTCTCAACAAAAACGTATCTCGTAATATCTTTGGATTTTATTCAGCACCATCAAAGTGTATTCGTAGACATCGTGAGCTACTTACATACATATTTACATGATTTTTTGAAAATTATACAACATAATCGTGAACTTTTTATTTAAAATTATTGACACAAATACATAAATGTCAATTTTATTTTTACATCACTTAATTTATGGTTATTAAAAATATACTACTGGTTCGGTAACAGGTACACCTTGTAAAAATGTTTAAAAATTGACTTGAACTAATTATTACTTGTCCCTCCAAACGTAAAAGAAACTTAATATCTTTTGATGATAATCCTTCCAGACTGATTGATTGTAGGGAGAGTTACTGTAGCTTTTCCCTTTCTTAGACCAAACAAAGTCCTTGGTAATAGAAAAACATTAGTGGTATTTTTATCATTTAGGTACCAAGAATAGTTCTTGGGAAGAAATCCAGGGGTTTAGAAATAAACAGAGAACAATCTATTTCAGATTATATCAATTTAAGCAAAATATGAATTGTTGGTTTTCTTAAAACTGTTAATATAAAATTAATTATTATTAATTAAAATAAAATTGCTTAGTCAGCAAAATGGTCAATTGTTGGAAAAATACATTTCCAATGAACATAACTATATGATTAGACCTTTGGTTCTTTTAGAACAGTATTTTGGTTTCAGGTGTTTGCACTGACTTAAAAAGTTATACAAAACATTTTACCACATAAGAATATTGACCAGTTCAATGCTTTTTTAATAAAATATAAATTAATGACTATTCAATTTAGAATAAAGCTTTACAAGTGTGTAAATCATAGATTTTTTTAAATAGTACGTAACAAACATATTTTTATACAAGATTGTATTGTAGATTTGATCAAGTTTTTCCATAATATGTCGTGAAAAGTTTTTCCATTCATTAGAGTCTTTGATCACTCTGTCAAAATTGAGCTACAGTGCAATCTCAATTAATCGTCACTCTTTTCTCCATCAACATCTGTTATTTGTCACCTCAAAAATTATGATTTTAAAATGTTTTCTAGGTTTTTGACATACCACAGGTAAAAAAAATTAAGTATCAGCACCAGCATAAATATCCTGTAAATAAAATGATAATATATTAGTTCACATATAGTGTGTAATTTTATTCAGAAATCTTTATAATTCCAAACTATTGTTATTTATAATTTCTGTAATCCATTAAATAAACCTTCACTGTCCTAGTCCGATGAGGTACGGTTAATGAAGATTTCACTGTATTTTGAATAAAAATATTCAACATCAGATAAAGTCGATAAGATTATTTTTTTAACAAAAACAAATAAATTAACAAACATAACAAAACAAAGAGTTGAGGAGAGAGGCTACAGTAATCTGTCCGGCAGAGGTTCAACTGCGAAAGTCCGCTCCTCCCCACCATAGCGACACCTTCTCTGTTAGTTTCTTACAAAGTCCCATGAGTTTCCGTCACATTCCTCCTTGAGACTCCGCCTCCTCTCCTTCCCCCTCCTCTAGCGTAACTTGGAACCTTATTTGGCCTCCCCCCGCGTCCCCGTCCCCTTCCTGTCCTCCCTCAACCTCCTGCGCCTCTGACGGAGGAGGACTGGGCGGGATCATACCTGCAAAAAACATAAGATTAGTAATATACTAAATCATTCATTTCATACAAAGAGTCCATGCAAAAAATACTGCATTGCAAGCTCGTTAAATCCCAGATTAAAGAATATAAAATGCAGACCTAACAACTGTAGAAAATAATCAGGAATACATCAGTGTGGTGGTACTCACACCACCATTATTGTCATTGATTAGTTCACCAGTTTTAAGTAATTTTTTCAACTCTAACTGTTCTAGTGTATAAACTAACTATAGCATCAATGCACATAGACTAAAGTTATAGAGTAAACACCCTTTTAACTAAATTCTGTGAAACCAAAAACAAAGTTTTATCAATTAAACATTAAATAGGCACCAGCATATGTCTACTATGGCACAGGAAGTTCGCTCGACTGGGCCAATAGAATTTCATTACATATTACTAAAACACAGATTAAATCAATTGAGCAGACAACAATGAGGATCTTATACCTGATAGAGATAATGATCAGTAAACAACTGTTGATAAAAAAATGCATATATATTTCTTATATACATTTAAATTTTTGGATAATAATGATTAAAATAACCTCTACTATACTGATTAACTGAAAAATAGGTCATCCGAAACAGTCTCGCCCGCTTTATTCTGGAAAGTAGGGGCTTTACAAGTAGCAGATATTGAATATGTTTAGTATTACTCACTCTGGTACCAGTCTCTGTTCTCCTCCAGCATGTCTAGGATATCCTGAGCATCAGGATGTACAAGGTCTGCCCACGTCTCCCATAGAGGATGTACGATGTAGTCGATGAACCCAACCTACGACATGCCAACATCACGTGTTAGAGTGAGTAGAAAATGGTCTACATACAAAACTGACCTGCGATCTAATATGTTCTAAGGATGATTATTGATTACACAACACATAACATTATTTAAGTCATGGTCACTTGAAATTATTATTTTAAATTGGTTTTCACATGAAATGTTATATTTTGGTTTTTGATTGCGATAGTCCATTTGGTGATTCATGACTGTAGGGCAACTGACATTCCATTGGCCACTAACTGTAGGGCCTGATTAATTTAATTGACAGTATATATCAGTTACCACTGGAAGTCTGGGCGATTCAGTAAATTAGTAAAAAATACCTGACCCCCTAGTTAGTTACTTAGTTGCAACCCCCCCCCCCCCCTTCAAAAGACCAGATTAAATCTTTAAATTAAGTTACTTATTGAATCCACCATCTTTGTTTTGTTGATATTCTCAACTGCTTTCGGTTCAAAAATACCTTGTGATATTGTGAAGTGATGCACAAACTTAAATGAGGCTTTGTTTAATTCGGTGTAGTAAGTATTGTATGCTATTTTTGAAAGTGGTGTTTTCATCCTTCCTAACCCGACCGTTTAAAGTCAACCCTGTGTTTAAAAGCATGTTTACTACCTACTTCACCCCTAATTATTATTGTTTCATTAATTTATCACAAATTTAAGCTAAAGATTTGTGAGTAGTCATTTTCAAACTATTGAATAGAGTTTTTCAACCATTATCAGTATCTCACCTGGGACTTCTCGATGGTGGAGTTGTGTCTGTCGCACATAGGACTGATGTCCATGTTGGCCTCTCGCTCCTTGTCCCCTTGTTGGAAGAACTCCTCCATAAGCAGCGCGACCCACTTCTTATACTGCCACAGAGGCTTGGTGGGGTTGCTCAGATCTGCACAATGTACCAGGTTCTCCAGCACCTAAACACACCGCGTTCATGAAGTTACCGAGAAAGTTCATGAAGGTAATATTATTTGGAGTAAGATATTTCTTATACTTATTCAGGGCCACTGTAATAAATGGGCCTGGTGGGCCCGGGTCCGGGTTTTTAGGTTTTTTGGGGACGCTAGGAATAGAAAAATCCCTGACAAGGTAGATGGAGAGGGGCGTGATTATCCTCGAGCCCATAGCACATCACATGCAAACCACAGGCATTTACTTAAAGATATCTAGTTAAAACTTCATTTTGTTAGCCAATGGTAAAAAAATCAAAAACACAACTGGGATTTATTGGTTGCTTTATATCAGGGTTTTTTACAATGAAGGGGATCTATTTTGTCCCCCAAAGGACAAAATATTGTGTTTTATGTATCTTCTTTGTGTTTGACCTACCTTTACTTTTTATTAGGTAATCTATCTGCTATCCCTTCCTTCTAAAAGGACCATCCATCAAAATCCTGGCCTAGAGTCTTTCCTTGAACAAAACTTACAGTCTATAGAGGAAGTAGAGTATTATTATGAAAGAAAACCATCCCCAAATATATCAATTACAGTTATGGATTACTTATTTAGACACTGAATCTCAAAGCTATCAAAAACTGATAAATCTGTTATTGTTTGAATTTCAGCATAACTCTTGATCAGATGCAATGTCAGTACTCCTATAATCCTTGATGAGACGTCATTCTCTCACCTTAAACTAGATTTTTAAACTATATGGTGATGTGATGTGAAAACATAACTATCGACAATAGACAAACTTCTTTATTTGTAACTCCTTAACTCCTTTAAGAAATATATTAGCCTCAAAGAAGATTGTCAACTAATTGTTCTCTTTGCTTAGGACCAACTCTTTTTTATATGCAAAAGCTTCAATAATTTTCTTAAAAAATAAAAATGATTTTAAAGCACTTATAAGGTAATTGAAAATTATTTCTGATTTAAAATAATTATAATTGTAAATCACTTTCCGAGTGGCATAGGCCCTACTTCACATCATTTTCTTGCTACTTGGGTAATGCAAATTGTTGATTATAACAATGCAAGTAATAAATGGTAATGACGGATGATTTACCTGAATTCTGTCCGTGTAGTTATCTAACAATAACACCCCTGAACCAGCCACCTTCTTAGTTTCTACCATAGTTTTGAGATCTGCCAGCAAACTCATGTGTTTTGACATATCCGTTGATAATACCTGCAAACAACAAAAACCATAAAATGTTGAACAATTCTGGGAAAATGATTTTGTTGATTTAAATTCAAAAGATGAGGAAACTTATTCTAGTCACTCTTAGAGCATTCCAATTTTAGGACTTTTAAACATGCAACCACAATATAAATAAGAAAAGAGGTGAATTTTTGGTCAGTAAGTGAGGAGGGGTTTTCAGTTATATACTGAATTTGCACTAAAAAGAGGACATTTAGCGTCCCATACCATCATTTATTTAAGAAATACAACAACTCTCTTCTTCTCTTCCAGTAGGCACTCCTCTGCGTTTCCACTGTTCTCATTCACTACTTTTAGTAGGAAAGAGTGGGATAATGAATTGTTGAATGTAGTCTATTGAGTTCAAAATACAGAAAACTATGATACAGATAAAAGCAGTTTTTAAGAGTAATATTTTGTAGCTAACTTATTGTGTGTTTTATGAGATTTTTTTTTAAATCTGGTTGAACTAGATGAGAAGACTATAGTTTAAGAACTTACCATATCTATAACCATTTTCCTAAGCGTTTGTCTCTGTTTTTTACTAAGATTCATTAAAATATCACATCCATCATTTTGTAAAAGTTTAAACGCAACAGCTAAGTGGTGGTTTTCCAGAACAGATTCATCATTATACATCAGAGCTAATTCGGAACCTGAAAAAAGATCAAATAATTAGGTGATGTAATTGTATCAGTATAGCTAAAATAAAGCGGCAAAGCCCATTTTGACTGAGGAAATATGGGCCTGACTGGTTACTTTATAAACAAATTTAACTTCAAAAAATTTACAGAGAGATCAGAGAGACTAAAATCTTGAATCTGAATAAAATATGTCTTTGATTAATGAAGAAGTTATTTTCTGTCCAAAGCGTTTGCGGTGAAATTTCACAAGGAAGTCAGTTGTTATGACACCATTATCAACGAACATCTATCAAAGAACATTATATTTATGATTTAAAGGCATCAAAAATACATGAGCAATTCAATCCTTTGCACAAATAGGCTAACAGAGGAGCATAACCAACTTTTTGTCTACTTAAAATAATAAAAAAAAGACTAAAAAAAACCTTACATGGTTGATGCATAATTTTAACGTACTCAATTATTCTTCCAATATTTTAATCAAATTTTACACTTGGAATTATTAGGTGAAATAGCCTTATAAAAAACATTGAGACTTCAGCATAAAGACTAGTTGTAACTCACGCTTGAGTTAACTATCCGAAGCAGTTTAGTAATTGTTTGTGTAACCACCTCTTTTTACGAGTAATAATCATTTTCAACAGCTAGTACTGTTATCTCACATTTTCCAGCACATATCCATGAAGAAATTTTTTACAATTAACATTCAGCTAAGAGAACATCATTGTGAAATGATTGGTGCTGTCCTAAAAAACTGGTTACATATTACTACTACAATACACTTACTTGAATTAACGAGAAATTGATTGGTAAGTCCTGGATGATCAACATCATGAACAGTCGCAGCAAATAACGCCGCCATGATTTCTAGAGGGGTGAACACAGACTGAAACAAACAGAATATGTTCTTAGTCTCCCTTGTGTTTAAAAGATACTAGTTGGTCGATGGAGAACAATGCTCATGAAACAATGAGTCATGATTTCAGTTGGAGTGAACATGTAAAAGGCAAGTGATCGTAATTAGTTGGTGTATGGATGTAAAAGCTTTGTAAAGTGGACTCCTTCTGGTTTGGATCATTTGGTTCAGACTTCAGACAAGCATTCTTCTTGTATGGACATCTAATGGTCTGAAGGTTTCAGATCGGAACTATCCGAAAAAAGTACACTGTAAGGTTAATATTTTACTTAAGCTTAGATAAGTTAAAACACTTTAAGAACGAAAGTTTTAAAGAGTTGATGAATGTGTGTTATGTAAAATTAATTTAAAAGGTGATCCACCACAGTCATACATGAAAATACTGCATAGCTAAATACTCTATACTACTATATCTATTTCATGCAAAAGTACATATAATACCGGGTGTTTCTAAATGAATATCAGGGTTTTAACGCTTCATAACTTTTATTACATTTTAAACTTACCGCTAAAAATGACACATTATTTTGAAACATCCAGTATAGTTTCAAGAGTATGTACTCCCTACCTATCTACAATCAATGTCCAAACTCAATTAATTTTCAATCTAAATATTCACCCAAATAATTGTCATGATCAATTTTACATCAAAGTCAAGCATTAACAAACGACCTCATTACACACAATCAATACATAATCTAAATGTATAAAAACGACAAGATAATTTGAAACCCTCCTATTAACCTTGGCTCACCAATTCCAATATCCTTGTAATCATTGATGAACATTTACAGTACAGTTAAAAAACAAAAGATCACAATAGCCTACCTATCTCTTTTGTACCCTAGTCCATATTAATAATTCCCAATAGCGTTCCTACACTAACAATGATAGCTAAATTCAATGGCTACACCACTAAGACAGATTATAAGGATTAAATGACTTTAAGTTTGGAGGATTGACTATTTTTCTGTTTTCAGTTGTTTGCTACTTGAACTCTAGTGATACCAACCTCGAGAGCAGGAGAGTTGAGCAGAACGTTGGTAGACTGGGTAACGTCGGCCGCGTGCGTGCTGTTGTGGAAGGGATTGTCCTTGACGTAATGGTCTTCTAAGGTCATCATGAACTGGATGAACGTTTTTGCTGGGATCATAAACGTTTTTAACAATTCCCGGTTCTGAAACAAAACAATTAGTTAAATAGTAGATTTAAATTGTTTCATGTGTGAAAACCACACTTAATTTGGAAATAAAGTAGACTTGTTAGCAAGAGCAAGGTCACACTATTTTTAAGTGATATATAGCAATAACTTACAGGTAAATAATGAGCAACTATTGAAAACAAGTCAACTGGACGTTGTCGTTGTCATAAAAATGTCAAATTTAAAAGGTAGATTTATTAAAAAAATATGTGCATTTGATGATTGATGACGAGTCAATCTCTCAATATGCTCCATCATATTCAATCTACGACCTATAGTGTATATGATTCAATTTGTCTAACAATTGTATTTTGTGAAGAAAATACGTAGACATTTAAGCATTAAACCTGTGATATGATTTAGCTTTAACAAATTTTAAATCATTATTTACATAAAAATAATCTTGACTCACTGTAAATGCTGCATACGCCACCGCTGTCAGAGGTCGGTTGTTCGATAGTTCAGATATCCTAAATATATCAATGCCCCATTTATCTATTTCTCCTAAGCACTGAAAACAGAAACACTTTGGTCAGTGGATGATTTAAAAAAGTAAAATGCATTTTTTATTTTGGGTATTGTAGGCTGTCACAAAGGTAATATCCAACTTTAGTCAAAATACTCGAAGGGCGTGCAATTTATTAACCCATTAATAGAAAGTATTTCATTCGTTACCTTACAATATCTGTACATGTCTGATGGTTGGATGTTAACTTCATGGGGACTGCCCCATCTTCAGGTTTATCCTCTACTACAATTCGAAATAACATTTAAAATTGAACACAAAACGCATGTTGATATCTAGACACATTTAACAAAAAAGACTATACATTTTTGAGTCGCCACCGGCCTGACCAAACAAGTGCACGCACAGTGTCATTGATCAAATTAATGTACAGTCTTTATGTTAAATGTGTTTAAATTTTAACAAGCAGTGTTTTGTGTTCAATTTTAAATTTTTTGTCAAATCATGCGGAAGAAGATTAAGGAACCTGATTTGGTAGTCGCCACAAAACATAGTTTAGACATAAGGATAGGGATGAAAGTTAACGAAATACTTTCAACTATCAATATCCCAGCCGGTATGTCTGTGTAAAATCCAAACCTTGCAGATAAAACATACTCCTTTGGTTAGTATATTGTTCAAACTGAAACATGCCCTAATGAAACAGACATTATTTTGTAATTTACTTTGATTTCTAAATAATAATTTTCCCAAATGTTCAGTATTTTAAAAGAGTACTGTACAATGTTTATTTGTAAAACATTGTCCTCTGATTGATTAGGAAAAATAGATGAAAATGATCAATAATTTTTAAACTAGTAAATTAATTTAAACATGTGGAAAATATTTATGCTAGCTATTACAACTAGAGCAATCAATTAGCTAGTAATAAAATTGTGAAAACAAAAACGACATGGACTCTTCCATTGAAGTCAAAGACATGATCAGCATTAACATACTTTAGCAACCGCAGACAGAAATAAAATACACCATAAGCTCTTAAGTGGTTAGACAATAATGGGCTGATATTCTGCTAAGTGAATTTAACATGTATTGACATTTAGTTCCTGTTGAGCTGGAGACAACTCCTAAATATGTGGCGAACCAGAGAAAAGCTGTTTAACCTAAAAGCTTGCTCAGCATGGCTCCATTTGTGTAGGACCAACCACAGGGACACCATAGCGAGAACTTTATTTTTGAATTTTCCTTTCTTGATTCTTTTACCTCTTTAAATACAACTGCTCCAAAAATTTGTTTTATTCAGCTATAATATTTTCTTACCAGTTTAGCGGATAACAATTCAAAGGTATCCTACAATCCTATTTAAGTATGTAAAAGTAAGAAGCCTTTTACAATCTGAATAAATTTGGTATTAAAACAAAATATTACTTTATGATTATGCCAGTGTAGATTACGTAATCATAAAAGTTAAACCTAGTTTCTTATCTCCTCTTGGCTACTGGTTGACTCATCATTAAGGATAACGAGAGGTCGTCCAGTGGTCGAAACTCGACCAAAAATATGTACTGTATAATGTACTCACTTATCTATTTTCACCCCACACTGTAAATAAAACATGTGATTGGAGTTTCCTCCATTTGTTTTGATTTTCTGTTTATATTTCGTTGTTATTTCGTAACCAGCATAGCAACGCATAAGATCCATGTTAATTTTTTCAAATTTTTAAACTCATTTTTTGTGCTTATCTTTGAGCCTATTTAAATTTATAAAGGGATTCTGCACACCTACAGGAAAATAGCTTTCCAACGGTATGCGTAGATTTTCCCTACGATTCACACGAGCTGAGAAAAAAGGTTTTAAAGAAACATGCTTGCCTATTAATATATAGATAGATATGCATGAAATCTCAAAAATATTTCAAGCCAACACTACTTAAATCAGTATGACAATTTTTTCGTAAGCCAACAATGAGCAATGACAACAAAAATAATACATATCTAACAAATAAACTCTCCCAATTCCACTTTTGGCTTAACACGGCGACCCTTGCCCTAACGATCTATGGGGCTTTATCGCCACTGTTTCCAGTGTTGCTTGGTTAGTGTAACGTTTTTGTTGTAATCTAAATTTCTCACCACCTGAAGACGGCAAAAATTTCACACGTTATGAAAGTTTTACTTATGAGTTATGGGAAATATCCTACACCTCCTGGGAAACTACCATAACCGATTTGACTAACGTTAGTTTCATCTTACCTTCCCTAACTCGTCCTCAAAAGGTGTTTCGACTCCATACTTTGGTGTCTTCTCCCCAGTAAAGCTGTTGGTGTGTGTAAGGGGCCTCTTTACACCGCTAATGTGTGACATAGGCACCACTCGACCTCCCTTTTCCTTCTTCTTGGTAGTTTGGGCTGTATTACTGCTCACCCCCGACCCTTCATCTACCCGCAGTGACGGCAAGTCCAGCTCCTGCTGCTTGTCTGCAACAATGAGTAGGCAGGTGTTAAAGGGTGATGGCATGTAGACGATGGTTAAGATAGGTATTTCAATTTACAAAATGTTAAAATTTATTGTTATAACTCTGAAACAACATTATATAGGTTAACATTACCTCCCAGCAGCTGTCCTAACAAATTACCTTCCGTAAAAATCAGGGTGATACAAGCTTGAAAACGTCTCAGTCACGTATGTATGTGTAAACCCTCAATCAGACAGATCAAACATTATTCCTTAATTGAGGTGTTTGAAAATGGCGATCTAGGTAACATAACAACCGGAATGTTATGTTTGGAACTGCTGACAGGTACTCAAATCCTTGTCTATAATTTTCAAAACATATTTTAAAAACAAGTTTAGTTAAGAATTTTAAAATGAAGAAAGATAAAAGTGACATTTAGGATGTGGTAACAAAGGATATCTATTAAACGAGGGTTGTCCATAAGTTAAGATCTCCTTAGAGCTATTGTCGTGACCAAGCAAGCAGTGGGCATATATCCAAGTAATCCATTTGAAAAAGCCTTCCTGCCAGCATACACCATACTTAAACTGGTTCTCAGGGAAGTATAATAGTAACAGTGTAAGTAACACAAACAACTTTTGCACTCCAATAGTTTAAAGTAGTGTACTGTCAATATTCATTAATACTTTTAGAATTTGCACATATCTTTTTTTGTCCTAAGACACTACAGTATAGGCACACACTAGCCCGGGATTGTTTTTCACATTACTTCAGGCTCTACACCTAGGTATTGCGGCATCATCACTTAGATTAAATCCATAGGTGATTTGGTGGGATTCAAACCCGGGACCTCAGAGACCGAAGTCCCGCGCTCTAACCAATAGACCAGCTCGCTCCCCGCAATTTGCACATATCTTGGGAAGAGGCTACTTCCAAGATAAACCTTTATACTGACTGGATGCATTTTGTATGTTCCTTACCAATCATTGTGGACAAGGAAAATCTAACATCAATTTCAGTAAGGTCACAGAATGTATACTTAGTGCTCATAATACCGAAAAGAGTGGGTAAGGTCACCTATGAAAAGGCATGAAATGAGGTTTTTCAAACGCCAGAAGCTTAAATATTTTAATACAAGTTACGAGAAAGCTGCCAAAATCAATGTGAGGTCAAGGTCAAGGGCAACGTTTGTGGGCTTCAAAAGCTTTTGTTACCATTCTTTACACCTGTTTTAATAAACACTGAAAACACAGGCCTTTCACGATAAAAATTTTAATAAAACGTGTTCAGTATTTCTTGTGGCTTTACAATAAAAGCAGTAATCTACTTTTCAATTAATTATGTTTGTGTTCACATTAGCTGGTACAGTCATTACAATAAACACATATAGGCACGTTTGGTACAGTACCACAAAATTGTCTATAATCCTTATTTTGTTAATGCTTCAATAGTAGTTAGAGGGAATACAAATAGTACCTATTAGAAAAAGAAAACAATAATATGTAAATTAAATTTATGTTGACAGGAAAATTATGATTTGAAAAATTCAATGGTAAGAAGGAGTTGACCTTTGGCTCGTGTGCAAGATGGTGTTGACGTTGTAAGGCTTAGTTTAGTTAGACAAACATCAATCAATAGATAATTGGCAAACGGATTGTAGATGAAATACTTTTTTAAAGTATTTTAGAAAGAGATTGTAAAAAGCACACTATCCTTAAAATTCAACTTCTAATTTTGTGTCTACAGTCTTTAATTCGAGTTTTGGAAGTTTTATTTTATAATATTTGTTGTACTAATGAATTTCAAGTGTTCTCTTCCATACTTATTCCTAACTGACCCAACTCACCAATATTTATGTCAACATAAGTCAAATTAACACATTAAGTACCCGGTATATAAAATCAGTTTACTCACCGAGGAAGGTGGAGCAGATATACTCAGATATTTGGTTGCCCGATTTACTGGACTCTGAGAAGTGGCTCAACTCTTTGTTCAGCATCCTCTTGAACTGAAACAGAAGAAAACTTTGAGTAAACTGCTCCAAGTTGAAAACTTCATGGAAGTATTGATATTAGAGACGATTTCTCGGGAGATTGGTCCGACTTTAGTTTATTTCAAAAGAAACTATTCAAAGTCATGATTTTGAGTTTCAAAAATTCTTACTTTCGAACCATGCCTTACACTGCTATGAATTATGTAATAATATTCAAACAAACCTGATAAGCAACAAGAAGAAAAAAGAAGACAACATCGATGCCTAAACTGAGACAAGAGAGCCCTCCCCACCACAGCCATTCTTCTGATCCTGAGCTCTCCATTGACTTGAGATATTGTCACTATTACAGGATCCTTGTAAAATGTAATTTTAAAAAATATTGTTTTTGAGTCACTGCATTATTTCATTACTGAGGAGTTGTCTAAAATAGTACTAGCATGAAGTAGCATGAAGTTTCGTTTATATAGTTCGTTTATACTTTCGAAGCTCTTCACTCAATGGGAACAAAAATCCACCATGGCAACTTCCCAGTGGCGGACTAGTTTTCTCGAGGTAGAAGTCGGGTCAAAGTTGGGAACGGTTGCAATCTCACGACGTTGAAACAAGTCTACCAATCTTCTCCAACTGTGTCTTTGGCAACGCCAGTGTTGCCAGTTTTTGGAATGTGAGTTTGTGACGCGAGCCGTTTTTGGTGAATCGTAAAAACTTTTTTGATAAATATGTGATGACTATATCTAAAAGTTTTTAACCAAACTTATTGAAGTTTTACTTTACATTAAGCCACCTCTTGTAACACTCTTATGATGTCCACCTAAAAATAATTTTGAGATCTAATTAGCAATTTATGATTGTATAAAGAAATTCAACATATAAGATTGTGAAAGTAATTTGAAAATTGGAAAACACCCATATGTTAACGACAGTCTGCAATTGCTAAACTTAGAATCGATTTTGAACTCAAGAAAATTAAACTTTGAATGATTGAAATTGAAATTTACAAACTACTGAAAATGCTTGATCTTTTATACAGGAGTCTAAACAGAAAAAATCATTAGTATTTATAAAATTCATTGATATTTGGTCAAAAGTAAACTTAAGTTGAAAATATTTTATTGTAATGCCTTTGATAACGAGTAAAATGTTTATTCAAGTTCACAAAAATCTTTATTATTAACAAACGGATTAGGATTGCAACATAAAAAAGATACTCAGGTTCTTGTAGAGGAAGAACAAGCAAGGCACACACACACTGACCCTCCCAGACTCTAACTAACAGAGTATCATGAGCTTCAACTTTTGCATGTTTTTGCCACTGCCAATTGACATCAATTTATTCCTCTTAAATTGTCTGAACTTTTAATCAACAACAATGGGACACTGTTGTCATACTACTCGAATCTGGCATAACTTTAACTTGTTTACTCAAAACATTTAACAAATGACGCAGCTTTGTTCTGAATTGCAAAAACACTCTGTCTCAAATAATATGATCGTTCAACAGCTAAATTAAGACCGAGACACATTTCATACTTTCAGCTGAGTGTGAATCCACGGTAAGATCAGAAAGGAGGAAGATGGATTGTGTAGAGTTTAAAATAAAATAATTTATTCATGTTGAAGCCATTCCGAAATTGGTTATCAATTATAACAGGTTACCGGTTACATAACTTGACGTTCACAATTCATCACAACTGGGACGGGTGGCGTCGTCCTGTAATCCAGCTACTAGGAGGTCACGAATTGTGGATATTTATAGGGATGCACTGTGGATGCGATGCTCACTGGTGTGGATTAACGTCCGCACTAGTGAGTACTACGACTATCCGCAGTACTATCCTGATAATTAGACCAATTCGTAAATTACAAGGAAAAATGTGGTTCGGATTCCACTATAAACTGTAGGTCCCTTAGTTGCCATTAGCTGTATGGGCTATTAATTAACAGCTGTGTCTAAGGAACATGTCGGCCTTAGTCACTAACAAGACTACAAGATCGCGCCACTCATCCTACACTCATCCTTCACTCATATTTGGGTTAAAATACGCACATAGTGGCGTCCCCATCTTAAATAATTGATATAATTGATATAATTGATAATTGATCAGTCGAACTTCCGTTGACTAGTTTCGACTATTAGTAGTCATTTGCAAAACTGAACGTTAAACTTCATTGAATGTCATCAATTTTTTCTTAAAAACATTAGGTAGACTTCCGTATCCGTCGGCACAAACAACAGATACGATCAATATTCGATATATTGATTATTCGATATATCATTTGGTAAGTTAAGGTTAACCTAACCAAACGATTTATCAAATGCAACAATCGAATAATCAATATTTTCATTCGGTTGTTTGTGCCAACAGGAACAGATACTACCCAAAACATTGAACACAATACCTTTACACATAACACGGTAGACATTTAACATAGTTTGTCGGCCGGCGCATTATCACAGAGTGAAAATCCATTAGAGTGAGTAATGAAATTTGAACCCTAGCCTCCAAATGCAAAGCCCTATTAGTATAACCACTTTACCTTGACAGCCCTTCGGGTTCAAAGGTTAAAAATATGAAAAAAAAAAAAAAAAAAACAGGAAAACCAATGATTACCTCAGAAACTAAACAACAACCATAACATAAAATTATTCTGAGAGAGTAACTTACCTTCTTTGTTGGTTGGACTTATATTTCAGGGACACATTCCAATAGTTCAACTGGCTTTTTTATTGTACATGAAAAATGTTTATACTTAAAAAATTACAGTATAATGAACGTTTTTTTTACTGGTAGCAAGAACAAAGTTTTGAGGCTAGGAGTTATTTACCTGAATTAAGCTGTACTTAAGGATAAAAACCATATGATTGGTAATACATCATAGTGGGGAGGCAAATGGCCAAAATACCAAAGTTGGCTCAACCCGAAAGCTAACCAGTGAACACTATGCTAGATGATATTGTACAGTAGTAGAGATGATATTTTGACCGGTGTTGCCTGTATGAGTGCCATTTTCTTCTCATTTTTCTTCATTTTCTTCCATGGTCTCTTGTCTGGATGCCATTTTCCAAAATTGCCCAAAGAATTTACTCAAATTGCTCTTATAAATCTCTTTAGACAACTCTAGATAGTAAGTCTGTGATACCTATAAGAAATATATGTACTATAACTAGTTAAATGCAGACAAAATGTAATGTGAGTACATATATGTTCTATGGCTTTATCATATTCAATTATCCTTCATACAAATTGAATGTCTCGAGGTATGAGTTTTGTTTGTTTAGCTAACACCTTAGTTAAAGACTTTGCACCACAAGACCTCTCATTTGTCCCCCATTCAACAAGACCCCATTCAAATGTCCAATAATTATATCAAGTTCGAAAGTGCGGAAGAGGTTTAGTTACTGCCTTATAAAAAGGTTTGTTCCACCTACTTATACAATAGGGTCACATTTTAAGAAGCAATTCAGTTTATGAACCTGAACTTCAAAATTCAACTATCATGGGAAGATGTTTACAGTGGTGGTTAACGCAACCTTGATACACTTGGATAACTTGAGGAGGTATATAGCTGTGAATTAAATCTGAGCTGGGGGGATGAAATCTAACATGTTCTTAAGGAAGACCCTCTTTACATCTTATATAGGTGGGAAACGAAAATTGCCAAAAAGGACAAAGGGTCCTACTATAATTATTACTCTCATGGTTCTATTTTGATAGATGCCAATATCATACATTCAGCCAAAAGTACTACTCAACCAAAATTATTGTAAGCACTCAGAACATGAACATTTGATCCAGAATCATGTGATTCCTGAATTCCTACCTTAGCAGCTGCTGTCATTTGTAAGGTGCTATTACAAAATACCCCCGCTGCAGCAAACCTGCCATCTAAGCGAATTTCCATTTGGCCGAATTGATTTTCAATTGATCTATTTAAATAACATTAGGTTTAACGAGTACCTAGGTTTGCTGCTACAAGGAAACTAATAAAGTAGTGTGTTTTTAGTAAAATATTGATAGCTTACTATAAAATAAATAAATTTGCCAAGTTTGATCAAAATATATCCATAAACAAGCAAACTACAACATTTTACAATATTCTCCATAAGAATAACATGGGAATTTTAAATTTACAATTTTTTTAGTTTTCTCCGTAACCAATAACCGTACAAAAACACTTTGATATACTGAATTGTTTGTTTTTTTAAGCTCTTTAAGAAGGTTTGGAGAAAAATTGGGAAATTTTGTGTTTTGAGGGTAAAAAGTGAGAAAAACCAATTTTTACCCCATAAAACCCCCCATAAAACCCTGTTCCCATGGTCCGATCATGCTGGATCGCGAACTCATTCAAGTTTATCCCGCCTTACACCTTCAAACCAAATTTCATCAAAATCGGATAAAAATTACTCAAGTTATCGTGTTCACGGACACATATATATATATATATAAATCTATATATATATATATATATCTATATATATATATATACATATATAAAAATTTTAACGAATGGTGTTTTTGGCCTCTGGGGACATTAAAATGAAAAAGTAAATCGGTCCCAGGCCTAAGTCTTACCATGAGACCTACGGTAATAGCTACTTCCCTATAGGGAAATTCGCTAAAAGAGACTAAAACATAGATAAATAAACGGTATCAGCAATCTGACACATACTTTCTCCCATAAGTTTGTCAACAACCTTTATCATGTGTAGCGGATAGAGTAAATATACGGAAATGGGATTTTAGTAAAATTTTGATCAGAATTTAAAGGACTATAACATACTAAATTTTTATCAAAATCGTTCGGGCCATTTTTTGTGGAAATCTTATTTTTCCGTTATTTCATGGGGTTTTTATGGGAAAATAAAATAATTTACAATAAATTTTGAACCGTATTTTTTACAGAAATGGGATTTGTACCATTTTGTTCAGAATATAAAGGGCTATAACATACAAAATATTTTATCAAAATCGTTCGGGCCGTTTTTGGGAAAATCCTTTTTTAGCGAATTT